TTGCAACGAATACAAGTTTTACATCATTTAAAAGAAGTAACTTAAAATGACAAAATACAAAATTTGAATGAAATCGGTGGAATATTTCTCGAGAAATCGGATTTTGAATAACTGACGTAGAAACTATTTGGCTAATTTCGTTCAAACTTGCCGTTCAAAATCTCATTCGTTAAAATGGTGTAAAAATTTGTATACGCTTCAATTTAAAAACTGTTTGGGTTTTATTATTGAATAAATAGTAATTATTAAAACTTATTTTTTGCGCGGAATTTTCATAAAATAAACGCATTTTATAATTGTGCAAAAAAATTTTCAATTCGCTTAAAAAGTTCTCGGGATATAATATTTATTATTATTATATTTTAAATTGTAAAGAATACAAATTTTACATCATTTAACAGAAGTTACTTTAAATGACAAAATACAAAATTTGAATGAAATCGGTCAAATATATCTCGAGAAATCGGATTTTGAATAACTGACGTAGAAATTATTTGACTAATTTCGTTCAAACTTGCCGTTTAAAATATCGTTCTTTAGAATGATGTAAAAATTCGTGTAAGCTACAATTTAAAAATTTTTTGGGCTTTATTATTAAATAAATAATAAGTATTAAAACTTATTTTTTGCATGGAATTGTCATTAAATAAACGCATTTTATAATTGTGCAAAAAATGTTTCAATTCGCTTACAAAGTTTTCGGGATATGATGAAATACGCAAAAAATAAAATTAACATTAAGGAATTCAAACTTTTAAACACTCTACTGACTAAACTATTAGGGGGACGGGAAAGTAATGTTGTTTTGGTGCACTTGATATTTGTTATCAAGATTTCATTTTTAATCAATGTATTCACCCTCGTTAGCAACAACTTTTCAATGTCGAATAGAAGAAAATGAATAGGTTTTTAAGACTAACGAATGTTCAAAGCGCCGAGACGTCATTACTTTCAGGTCCCCCTAATATTTGGGCCATATTTCCGAGATTGCATCTATCTAAATATTTTTGGTGTCAGAAATCGCTGTAGAGAAAAAGGTATGTTTAGTCAGAGAAAGTACATTTTTTTTTGTGTCTGATTTCGTAAATTAAAATATCGTCTCTACTAATTAATTAGCATATTTGTGATCACCCTCTCGAAACATTAAGATTGAGACTTAGTACGTGAAAATGCGATCATTAGATGAAAAATTAAACAGGGAGTTTTTTTTATCTCTTTTTATGCACTGTATAGTAGGAAAAGTAAAGAAATGAATTACCAGAATAACTTTCAATCTACTAACCAGATTTTTATATGCTAAGTTTCAATTTTAATAATTAAGGGGCACACATTAAACCCTTCCTTCTCGCTCGCGTGATATTTCCGGGCTGGAGTGTTCAGTAGTAATGCTGTTGTTGTTAATTTACGTCGCACTAGAGCTGCACAATGGGCTATTGGCGACGGTCTGGGAAACATCCCGGAGGATGATCCGAAGACATACCATCACAATTTTGATCCTCTGCGTAGGGGATGGCACCCCCGCTTAGGTAGCCCGCCGACCTGCTCGCGAAGTCGAGCACTTTACGGTAGCACAGTTTAACGAGGACCAATACCGCACACCCTCGGTCCCTACGCAGACTGATCCAAGTGGTCACCCTACCGCACACTGACCGTAGCCAGTGATGCTTGACTTCGGTGATCTGCTGGGAAAAGTGTCTTAACGATCAGTTCACTGCAGGACTCAGTAGTAACGCGCCAATAAGAATAAAACTAATTCATTTCTTTTGCCCGGAAAACATTATATTTCTCATTTTACACACCAGATGTCAGTACCAGGGATATTTTTAAGGTAATTGTAGATAGTTTATTTTAAACTATTAAATAAATTAAACTCAGCGGCGCGACAGCCCAAGAGGGATAAGGCCTACTGTGCTCATCTCAGTTTTCTTGACCTTCGGCTCTGGGGTGCAGGAGCAGATGTTCCGGTCAGCCGAAAGCGGAACCCCCAGTGTTTAGTTCACAAGAATGCTTGGTACTCATTTATCGACCCACTGAAGGGATGAAAGGCTGAGTCAACCTTGCCCGGCCCGAGGATCGAACCAGGGACCTGTGTGGCACGACAGCGTGAAGCGCTACCCCTCAGCCACCGGGCGTCACTAATCACATACGTGTATAAAAAAAACAGGGACTTTTATGCCCGTTTTCTTGAAAATTAACCAATCGCTATGGGGTTAAATATGCTAAATTAGAAATACAGACGATAATTTAAGCTACGAATTAAGATATGAAATCCTATTTCGCCAAAATAAATGTCTTTTTCCTATGATTTTATAATGGTAGCAACAATCTGAATATTGGATACGATGAAAGGATATTTTTCATTTCCCTGATTCAATGATTCCGTGTTCATGGAAAAAAGTATATTTTTAAAAATAAAATTAAAAGACAAAAAAAAAAAAAAAAAAAAAAAAAAAAAAAAAAAAAAAAAANAAAAAAAAAAAGACTCGTGGAATTAAATTATTTATTGAAAAATAACTAATGTATAAGTCTAAAAATTTTAAACAAGCCTCAAAACAATGAGCACTCTATTTTTTTAATTATAAAAAGATCATTTACTTTTCATCTTTTATCGACCAAAGTCATTGCAGTAGAAAATCTTTTAGTAATATAGTATAAAATGCCTCGTTTTATCAATAAAAATATTAAATTTATAAATCAAAGTAACAAAATCAAGATTTTCTGTTTATTTATAATTTAAGTGAAAAGATCATCTGGCAAGTCTCTACCAGGATTTCAAGAATTTGAAAAATGTCGGTTTTTTCTAATGTACAACTTTTGCTTAAGTACAACCATGCACAAAAATTCAATACTTACATTTGGAATGATTATTTTAAATGAATGAAATACTTAATACGACATAATAAAATGTTATGAAAATTTCTGAGTAAAATTTCGAAGTATTATGTTCTTACAATTAAATTTGTACATTATCTGAGAATTTGCGATAGCGTGTAATAAGGTTTATTACAGCGGGGTTAATTTTACGCAAATTTATAAAATGGGTCAAGCCGTCATAACTTTCCAGTTCGCGTACTCAAAGAAATTCGAAGGAAAACTAAAAAAATACGAGTCTCGAAAAATTACATAAATACTATGAATAAAAACATATGTTTCATAATATTTTACCAAAATTAATCGTTTTTCCATTTTTTAACACGATATTAACACACACGAAACTTTCGAATTGTACATTTTAAGGATCATCTTTCGATGGTAGATAAAGAAAATTTATCTCGAATTATTCTTGAAAACACATACGAGAACAAAAGAAAAATCGCTTACGTTTCATTCTCAGACTTTTTTACGTAATTATTGAATTATAAAAAAAAAAATGTCATATCCTAATTGAAAAGCTAATATTATAGTCGCCACTCAAAACTTGTTAGAAGCCAATGACGACCGCATGTGACGAACCCTCTCTGGCTCCAAATTCGGCTCTCAGTTAGTCCAATCTCACTGTTTTACAACTCTTTTTGGTGGATTCGATAACTGGGTTCATCACACTCATATTTCCCACTCCCTATTCATAGGTTAAAATTAAGTTCTAAAAAGAGATTCCTGATCCTGATAATTTACAAAAGCAATCTTTCTTCTTAACACATTCTTTCTAAAAGAATTCAACACAAAAGTCAGTGATATTATTTACGCTTTTCTTCATATTTGCACATTATTTTTTATTTCTTAATTTTTTGCAATTCAAAAAATAAATATGAGATCGTTCTAGGTTATTTTGAAAGGTACCTATTTTGTGAAAATTTAGCCATAATTTGTGAAATTTAAAAATCAACACAAAAATATGGTAAAATAAGAAAATATTTTCAGAAATATTTTGGGAAAATAGGTTAAAAGTATTTCTGAAACTACCGTTTTTCCTAAAATTGCATCGCGAAAGCCCGCTAAACGGCAGTAAATTTGCCCTGGACAGACCCCTGCTTTCGTATGTGACACAATAAAAATTTTACATTGCCTTTGTTATATGGTTAATTTTAACATTTTTCTTGTTCTGTAAATTATCCACAAAATCTGTCAGACTCGTTAAGATTCGATATTATTTGTAAATCGATAACTTTAAATGATTCGATAATGAAATATCGTGATAAACAAGAAAGAGAAATACACTGATTAAACAGTTTATTTAAAAATTGCACCCAAAACCAATTTTCAGACAGACAAGAAAATTAAGTAAGTTGAAACACTCAAACACAGCAAAAAAAAAACTAGTTTAAACGAAGTAAACAAATTACAAAATAAAATAGTAGATATGTAAATTTCATTTTCAATGAAACAATAGAAAATAATATTTCAAGTACCAACTGAATACATAAGATTTTCAATGTCTGATAAATATATTCAGGGTATCTGCTACATTTTAGATTTTTAAATTCATGACTTAACGAAGTTACTATTTACTCCGAAAAAAACACAACAATAAATTAAAAAAAAGCATTATAATAACATTAATTGAAATGATAGGAATAACCAAAACTGTTATACTCTGCGTCTTCATATTTATAGATTTTAAATTTGAAAAACAGAGGAAAGACAGAGTTGAAGCAATAAGATAGCTGAAAAAAATACAAAAGCAAATAATTTATTTTTCTGCAGAATTATATTCTAAAGATATTTTTCTTGCTCATCGAAAAGGAAAGAAATACTCCTGATTTTTCTGTTCTCATTTCGGAATAAAAAAAATTTGTCAATGACTGGCTTGCTTCAGCTAGAATGTGAAATTGATAAAATAAAAAAAAAATAAATAATAACAAAAATTCTGTAATCATAGAAGTTTAAAAGATAATTCGCTCTAAAAATGATATTTTTATTTCAATTTTTTAAAGAATACCATAATTTTTAAAGAACACAATAAAAATTTTTATATTTTAATAAAATATGACTGATTGGGGACTTTTTTACAAATTCAGATGGCGGAGCACCATGAAATGGGGGGGGGGGGGGTNGGGGGGGGGGGGGTTCCATTTTAAAAATTAGATTTTTCGGCGACCTAAATCCATGACATTCCGTGAACTTTTCAAAAAAATAGTTAAAATCATGACATTCCATGTGCACGGATACCCTGTATATTATATAAACACAATGAGTTACATAAATATATTAACAAACAGAAACATATCATATAAATATATTAACAAACAGAACTCACAATGTGTTTAAACAAAATGCTAGAATAATTTTAATAAAAAGCATTGTACTTCGTTGTAACTTATACTAAGACTGTCTAAAAAGAGCATCACATGCACCTTGCACAGCTCAAAAAATTGCTAAAAAATAATTAGTTTATTATGAATTAAAAAAAACAATAAGCATACATGTGATTGGTCAGAAACAAACAAAAAAATTGAAATTTATTAATGACACTTCAATTGTTTATTTAATGAGCAGGTTGATGATTATAAAACTAATTTTAAAATAATGTCAATAAAAATCAAAATGCGTAAGAGCAACCATCATGAATAGAAATTGCATTGGCAGATTTGCATTTAAATCAAGTGAATATGAAGCATAATGTGAAATCAGTTTAATACTAATAAAAACGATTTGTGGTATGTGCTTCGTTAATCTTGTTACTGTTTCTACAAATTGCAAGAAGAAATTAATAACTCAAATTTATATAAATTTGTTTATGTGACTTGTAAATAGTGTTCATACAAATCATGATGCGGAATTCGTAAATAATACATACAACAGGTTGAATCAAGTATTGAAAAAATTCATCTGATTATTAAATTATTTCAAACATTTTGTACAAAAATAACAATGTTAATATTCTTGAAAATTACTAGCATTTTATTTTAAAACACTTGGTACATAAAACATAAGACTCAGTAAAAATTTCAGTAATTATATATATAATTATATAAATAAAAGTATAATTTAAGGCATTGCATACAATTTAGCAGGCACTAAAGCACTATATATAAAATTCATTTATTTTAATACATCTTCATTGCAATAAATTATGGCATAAATAATTTACTTTCAGCAACAAGAAATAAACTTTTAACAGCAATACAATTTAGCAGGCACTAAAGCACTATATATCTATATTTAAAATTCATTTATTTTAATACCTCTTCATTGCAATAAATTATGGCATAAATAATTCATTTTCAGCAACATGCAATAAACTTTTAACAGCAATATTAAATTTCTACACAATAGCACCAAGCAAATGTATAAATATAAAAAATATATGACGTTTTTCAGAAAATAATATATGATATCAAAAAAGGCAAATCGGTGGATATCTTTACAACCTTCTATAAAATACTTCTAGTACTTACTAACAAAAAATCAATTTTATCTTAAAATACTGATATCATGTAGATAGGAGATTCTAGACATAAACACTAAATTAGAGATATTTGAATGAGTCTGGCAAAGGTAACCTTAAACATATTACAACAGCATAAATTTCATGACAAAGTATTGAATTTTTCAAACAATTACAATGCTACTAAAAATCTTTTAACGCTCTATAAAAAACCAATATGACAAAAAATTGCACTTATTCACATATAATAGTTTTTGATCTTTTATAGAAGTAACACAATATGCACAAACTCAAATTTTAAAGAATGAAAAATAATTTATTAAATATTACACAAATGAAAAAGAAAAAAAAAATAAACATTATGATGATTTGAAGTGGAATAATTTTTAATTTCATCTAATCAAATTTACAGTCCTGAATCTTTGGATAATATAAATTGTGATGATTTGAAATGCAATAATTTTTCATTTCAAACCGATTATCCGATATGACAAAAAATTGCACTTATTCACATATAATAGTTTTTGATCTTTTATAGAAGCAACACAATATGCACAAACTCAAATCTTAAAGAATGAAAAATAATTTATTAAATTTTACACAAATGAAAAAAAAAAACAAATCTTTATGGTGATTTGAAGTGGAATAATTTTTAATTTCATCTAATCAAATTTACGGTTCCGAATCTTTGGATAATATAAATTGTGATGATTTGAAGTGCAATAAATTTTAATTTCATGTAATCAAACTTACGGTCCCGAATCTTTGGATAGTATAAATTGTGATGATTTGAAGTGCAATAATTTTTAATTTCATCTAATCAAATTTACGGTCCCAAATCTTTGGATAGTATAAATTGTGATGATTTGAAGTGCAATAGTTTTTTATTTTATCTAATCAAATTACGGTCTCGAATTTTTGGATAATATAAATTGTGATGATTTGAAGTGCAATAATTTTTAATTTCATCTAATCAAATTTACGGTCCCAAATCTTTGGATAGTATAAATTGTGATGATTTGAAGTGCAATAGTTTTTTATTTTATCTAATGAAATTACGGTCCCGAATCTTTGGATAATATAAATTGTGATGATTTGAAGTGCAATAATTTTTAATTTCATCTAATCAAATTTACGGTCCCGAATCTTTGGATAATATAAATCATATGGTTTCTCAGTAAATTGCAAATAGTTGAAGTACAGTAAAAACCCAATAAAATGTACTCCTGAATAAACGCAATTCAGTAAGACATGAAGATGAGGATATCTGGCAGGCTGCTTCACAGAGTACATGGCAAACACCAGTATTGCACTTCCGAAAATGGATACCAGGAACTACAAGGAAAAAATAAAGATACATTAAAATTGTGACAAGAAAAAATTCTAAACAAGTAGAGCAGTAACAGAGAAAAAAATAGCTACTAAATACGTACGTACTTTATCTAAAAGAGCATTTTGTTGACCATCTAATGTAACTGGAAATAAGATAAACGCACAATGGAATGAAAAATCCAAATAGTCACTAGCAGAGATGGAAATTCATTTACTGTCGCAGGACATAAATAGCGTGCATACAGGAATGTACAACGAGGATCGTGTAGACCAGGGGTGTAAAAAATTTTTGATATTTTTTTAACAAAGAAAACAATTTGCTTGATTTCATTTAATTTATGAAAAAAATAGCATATGTGTTAAAAATAATGAAAATAAAATAAACTGAAATAGTAATAATGTTTTTTTTAAAGGAACAATTTATTTTACAATAAAAATTTTATAGCAATTTTTTTAAATTTCTAACCTTTTCCCCAGGGATGTCTGAATTTCCCCTGAACCTTATTAATGCGATTCTGCACCCTTGGTGCAGACACATAGCGATGAAAAAAATTGAATGTGAATTTACACCAAACTAAACTAAACATAACAATGGAAGGTTTAATCTCGTAAAATAATAAAAAGCAGCAGCAAAAAAAAAGAAGAAAAAAAGAAAAAAAAAAGAGTAACAGCAATAAAAGAGTATTTATACTTCCAAGTACATTTACATCTTAGAAATATCAAAACCAAAAGCTATGTGCTTGAATATAAAATGAAACCAATAAAATAGATGTAAAATATGGAGTCTAATATGTAGTAAATCACTTCACTATCAAATGACACATATTATAATATCACTAAGTACTGCAAAAAGTACACATGAAAACAAAGGTAAAATCATGATACGATCTCCTCAGCAGATTGGATGAATGAATGCTCCTCGGCAGATAGGAGTGCTCTGCTGAGGAGCATTCATTTTCCCGGTTCTGGCATAAAAACAGTGAACCAACATATTGAGCATTTCTCAAAGAAATTGTTTATTTCTCAACTGTTCAATGCTATTTTGTTTTCATATTTCCAGCAAATTTAATAACGGAATATATTGTTATTTAATTGCATTTGTATGAATATTAATATCAATAGAAGCTCAAACAAATTGTTTTAAGACTAATAAGCACTGTCTATCTCTAAAACTTCCCATATACCCTTTCCCTTTCTAGGTTAAATTATCTCTAGGTTAAGTTATCTCTAGGATTAAAGAATCTTTAGGAAGTTCTAGAGATTCTTTTCCTAGTGAATACTCAGGTCAAATATTACATCATTCAGACAAGTGGTTTTTTTTCTTTTCCATAGCTCTTTAAAAATTCGACTTTGTATAGCATCCTGCAAATAAAACATAAATATAACATTTTTCAGTATCATTCTAATATTTTACTTACGCTCAGACTAGCAATGGTTGATTTTTGGCTCTTGAAAGAAAGAAGTAAATCCTCGTATGCTCGTATGGCACCAATAAGGAATAGGATACTTAAAGCTATGAATGGCACTATCAAGCCATCTTTGGCAAGGAGAGGAACTAGACTGAAAAGAAAAAAAAAACTTTTTTAAAGGTATGGATAGATAGAAAAGCAAATAAATATCCAGTTTAAAATAAAGAAATAATTAAAAGTTATGAAATGTAATTAATATTGATTTAGAAGAGTGTTTGTATGAAAAAGCTGTATATAAATCAATGAAAGTATTAATTTGGAATGAAAAGCAAAAATGAAAATAATAATTATTATAAACACAGCCATTTGAAAAATAAAGACATGCAAAAATAAAAGATGTTATGTAAATGTATGTAAACTAGAGTGCAATTCTTGTTTATATACATTTTCACTACGCACAATTACCAGTAGGTTGAGCAGTGCACATCCTGCAGGTAAATATGCATAAATGTAGTTCCTGAATAATCACCATGCCAGTCTTAGTAGTCAAGAGTGTAGTGGGGCTGGGATGTACCAGCAGAATGTTGTAGTACTTTTTTGCTAGATGGGACATGTTCCAAGAAAAACATTCGAGTATTTTTTAAAGAATATTGCTCGAAAATAAAGTAAAAATGTTATACTTATTATAAATATTTAAACAAGGAAGAAAAACACTATTAAAATCAAGGAAATCATCACTCAGGATAATAGTGCTGAAAACAAAAACAGTTTAAGTTTTATTATAAATATTGAATGTGTTTTTAATAAATATGGTTAAACTCCTCCTTGTTTCTGCCAGCAATCAAAGAAACTTTTTTTTATTCCTTTCCAGTCTTGCCTCCTCAATAGTGATTCGTAGATTATGGATTGCGTCAGAATATTATCCTAGTTTATATATTGATTTGACACCCTAAATGTGTATAATTCTCTCACTTCTGGAATTTTATCATTATGGTGGACATTACAAAATACCAAGTATGTTTGGCTATGAGAAAATTTCTGAATGCATATGACAATTGCAGAATTTAATCCTTTTCCAAAATTATAATCCATATTTGGTGGAGACAAAACATGTAAACAGTGTCTAAATTTAAATGTCTCTTTTGGCCTCCTTTAATCCATTCCTGGCAAACTGTGTTTTAGGGAAATTTTTTTAGCACTGCAACACTATTGTAACCTAAAACTAACTGAAAAAACTTTTTTTAATTTTCTTAAACCAAAAACAGATATCTAGTTCAAATATTTTATTTAAAACTGAAAAGTGTAAGGAACATTAGTAACAGTCAAGAATTTTGGAAGATGCAATAAAAAAAATTATAAGATAAATTCTTCCATCTCATAATTATGATTATGACCTTTCATCTTAATGATTATGACCTACAACACATGTGTATGGGTAAATAAAAAAGTAAACAACAAAAATTAAGGACTGAATCAAATCCATAAATATTATAGGGTCAATACCAATTCTATAGGTATATTACATTACTATTCACTCTTAACAAAGTGTGAACATTTTCCCAGAATAATGCTTCATCTAAAAAAAGGCAACACATTCACAAAAAAAGTGTAATTTGGAAACAAATTAACACCATTTAAATAGTGCTTGTTAAAAAAAAAATTACACTATTTATTAGATTGAATTATATATATTCAATCAGACTTCGGAAGAATTTTTTTTTGTCTGAAATTAAATATGAAATGCACATATACAACTATACCTATATGTTGATATGTATGCAAACCAGGTACAAAGCAATGGATGATCTTCAAATAACAGCATGACAGGCCTGCAAAAATAGTAAAATCAGTTCAATATTTAAATTTAGCATAAAGTACGTAATTAGTTTTTGATATGTCTACGGTGTTTAAATTATTAAAAGAAATGAAATATTGCAAAGGAAAATAAAAATGTAAAGAAACGTACAATGCAGGGAATAAGATACTTTTCTCATGAACTTGGTAAGAAAATAAGAAAAATGTCAAGGAACTATTGACCTGTAAAAATGAAAACAAATATTTTTGTAAAAAATAAACTAAAACATAACTATAAAACTCAAATAATATTAGTAATCAACGAAAAATCAAAAATAACACGATTCACCCATAAAAAGAGACCTAATGATGAATATAAAAAAATACATCAATTCATTTATGTCAATAGTAAATATTCAATTATACAAGCTCATCACTGAAAATGGAACATCAAATATATGAATAATGGATATTATGCTCAATCATAAATTTCGCAACAGCATAAGTAATTTATGAGACAAATAATTTTGGGTAATTTTATCACATTTATGATGAACATGAAACAATGTTATCTCGTAGCGTTTTCAGAAGGGCGGCTGGCTTGCTTGCCCTTCCTTCGATCCCTGTAAATGCACCCTAATTGCTCTTTTTGTGAAAATAAGCCACCATCCCTTAAAAACACTGCCTTTTTATTTCTTCAGGAAAAGGTTGTTTTCTTAACCAATTGTCTTAATAAAAAACTTGCTTCTGATTAATTTAGTTATTATTATTTAACTTTAATTTTTAATTTAATTTCTTCACTTTAGTAAGTTTTTTCTTATTTTGTCAAGTTATATTAGCTAAAGTTCACATGATATTCAACATCAGAGATATTCACATGAGATTTTTTTCTTTCAATAATTTGAATTAAATATTTGAAGATATAAGACTGTAGGTACTTCGTTAACAAGTAAATTGAATTGCACATAATTGAGAAGTTATTCTTTTAGAAAAAGCAAATTAAGAGATAATTATTATTCATTTTTGTTTTTCAATTTACATATTAATTGCTATCATCAAATAAGCATTAGCAGCATTAAAAATATAAAACGCTAAGATTTTTCCAAATCTTTAACCTTCTTTATTTCTAAACAGAATATCACAATGTACTGTAATGAGTTATATAGTATTTTTGTAGAGTATTATTAGTGAATAGATCTTAAGTGATACATTTCAAATATACATAAATGTAACATTTATAACAAATATATATTTTTAAGAAAAGATCATAAATAAACACCTATTTTCGTAAGAATTAATACTTACTAAAGCAAGTCTAAATGTATGCATCTTAGGATTCTTTAATAGATTTACGCAGGAAGGCAAAACAACTAACAACGTAGAAAGTGCACTGTGGACGAAAAAAGACGTTTTAATAAAAAAATTTGTTTTTCAATGATAGAATCTGGGTTATCATAATAGGGAAAAGAAAAAAATAGAAAATTTCTCAAAAAATCAATATCTTTTTTAGGACAGTAAGTATGTAATACGGCAATTGAAAATAAAGAAACATAATGATATATAAGCCAAGTTCAGATAAATCGTAAATTAAGATGTTGATTTTATAAATTGCACCATTGATCTTGATATGTAATTCGTATTTCAAGGGGATTAAAACTGAATTGAAAGAATGAAATATTGATCAATTAATGATAAAGGATAAAGAATTTGCAGATTATTAGCAAGAAATTCAAATAAATAAGCATAAAGATATTATTTCTTTTAAAATTTACTCGCACTTTTGTTTTAGATACCTGTGCTCTTTACATACTTTTTTGAATAAACCATTTGCACAAAGCAGAATCAAATTCTGAATCTTGAACTGATTTCAGCAATATTTTAAGTTGATTTCTTTTATTTGTATTCTAAGTCATAAATATATTTAAATAATAATAGTTATAAATATATCAATGATATTAAAGGTTTTGTAAATCTTTTTTTTTCCGATTCCATTCACTCTGCGTAGTTATATTTTTCTTGCATAGTTATAACACAACACACTTTTTTTTTAGCGGAAGAGACCATGATGGTCAAACTAAAATACCCTAGAAATAGTAAAAAAACAGATTAAACAATTTAAATTACAACTTTCAAATTTCTTTTATAGCAAAACCAGCTTTATCAACAAAAAAACATTTTTTTATAACTGATGTTACAATCTTAAGAAAGAAAAAAATTATGAAAGAGTGAAAAAAAAAATTCATTTTGAAATTAACAATTTCAGTTTGGTTGTTAAAACTGCACTGGTGCTACACCATTGGGTTATTTGGAAAATAAAAACTTTATTGCTAAAGATTTAATTAATATATGTAATAGATTACACAATGGACTACAATAAAAAAAACTAATATTGCAATAAATAATAAAAATGAAATAAACAGTAGATCGCAAAAGACTTATCTACAAAGATTTGAATTTAGCGATGTTGAATAATTTAAAGTGAACGTATGATATACATAAACTAAAAGTCTAAGTAAAAGAAGATTTTATGTAGTAGTCATATTATCTCAGAAATCAGAAAATGTATAAAAGAATTGATTTATGATAGCAGTAACATTAAATCAATTATTAAAAATGTGTTGTTTCAAGTTTGCTATGTTAGAATAAAAGTGTAATCTTAAGAAAAGTTTTAAGTCAGTAATAAAATAATATTTTTTTATAGACCCATGCATTTTATTTGAATATTAAGGACAAATTATTCTGGAAAATTTTGTTAATTAGCACATTTCATTAAAACACAAAAACTCTCAAATGTATTAAATAAAAATAATTAACTACTTTACTTACCATTTAATATAACATATTTGCGTGTTTAAATGCTTGTTTTTGTTCCTTACTAATTAAGTTAATTTTTTTAAATCTATAGTTATTCTTTATGTATATAAGGTTCACTTAAAAACAACAAAAATTGTAAGTAAGAACAATAAAGTAAATTACCTAAGAACAGCAAGTTTAGAAGATGGGAAAACTTCCTTCAGTTTTACCAATACTGATAACATGTACCAAAAATTAGCCACTTTGTCCTAGATTTTTTAAAAAAAAGGAAAGTTATTGAAAAAAAAAGTACATTTTGAATCTATTATGAATATTAAATGTAAGTTAATGATAAGTTAATTTAAGGAAATAAAAAACTTGTTTAGTTTCCAAATTCTCAAAATATGTTTACTTTTCACACCTAAATAATTTTTGAAGCTAATGAAGTTATTTCATTATAAAATATGTCGGTCCGCTTCACTTTCTTGGGATTATTTATTTCACCACTGCTACTGTCTACTTTTGTACTTTTCACTTACAATATATATACTATAAATATATATCATCACCTTCAACCTAAGTCTACTTTTGTACTTTTCACTTATGTTATATCGCTGGGCTTTGCTTTAAAAGCCAGACATCATAATGTATGTGATGTGAATGTATAATCAAGTATTTTGGAAATGAAGAAAAACTATGTATTATATTAGGATATTAAATCTCTGGAAGCAGGTTAAGGTATTATTTCAACCTGGAGCAGGTAATGTTTGTTTTCCCTAAATCCCTTTCATTAATTATTTATTCCCTGTTTTCAAGTTCTCTTTTTCCCGCTCTGACGTATGAGCGAACCACCAATAGGTAGTAGCTATAGCTGTGACGAAATAATGTCGTCATCGAACCTGTGCAGCGTGGACGGTGTGGCGCGCGATCTACGAAGGGAGAGTTTGTTTTTTTTCTCTCTCGTAGCTTCCCGAGGTGATGGTCGTGACTGGCGCCTGTAGGGTCCGAATCAAGTTAACGCGGCGGGACGGACGCGTCCCTATCTCCCGATGGACATCACGATAAGTTTTCCTATTTCTTTTCATATTGCTTCGTTTAACGCTAAATTTAAATAAACTAATTTATTTTTTTTTATTTATTAAATCCGTAGGATCCTATCAAATAAGTAATTCTAATAATTAAACTTAACTTCGTGGTAGCTGTGCCACGTGCTCGCGCTAATTTAACTTAATATGAAATGAAAACTTAATATTTTTTTTTATCTTTCCCTGCTCCAGAGAATCTTTTTTTATTGTATTAAAATGATTAGTAATGATTTTCATTGTCATGTTTAAATTAGAATGTTAAACCACATGAGGAATGTTATACTTAATTGTTTTAGAATGTTAAACCACATGAGGAATGTTATACTTAATTGTTTGAGCTGAACATGATTAATATGATTTTCAATAAATATTGTAATTTTATATAAACTTAACTCTCATTTATTAGCAGTTATTAATTGATTCACTTTAGGCAGTTATTGTGATTTTAGTAGCTTTTAGTTATATATTTGAATATTTTCCTGACAGGCTCGAACCTGATTTTAGATTAGCTTAAATAATTTATTTGGAGGAAAATGCTTGAATTACTTTGATTGCATAAAAATAATAAAATATTAAATCAAGATAAATAATTTTATTAAGAAATCTAAGCCTAGATGCAATTAGATTTAAGTATTAGTGAAGCACGTGTCGATCCACACGTGTTGATTTAGACTTGAACTAGAATAGTAAATTGTTAATTCTAATTTTTTCTTAATTAATTTCATAATTAAATTAATGAAACGGTTCGATAGTGATGAGTAATTATCAAGGAATATTAATTATTTTTCTCCACTAACTAGTTATTCAAATTCACAACGCAATTCAAATTAATGAGAGACACATTTTTAGGTACTGTTATATGTCTCCAGAAAGAAATATAACACTTACAATATATATACTATAAATATATATCATCACCTTCAACAATTTTTGAATCCACTGCAGGATGAAGGTCGGTCTACTCCAAACTTTTCCATGAAATTTGATCTGCTGTTTGAGCTTTTAAATTTACACTAGCTGCTTTTCTAATTTCATTAAACCTTGTGTTGTGGTGGTTTTATTGATTGTATATCACGAGGATACCATACCAAGATATTGCAAGCTCAGCAATTGTTTGCCTTTTAAATTAGATTGAAAACCAATTCCTAAATTAAGCATTTAATTCTCTTGAATAAATTAAAAACTTTTATTTGTTAGTTTATTTGTGTAACTTTTTTCATAGTTGCTTTAAGCATCTTGTATGGATCTGCTAGCGAGAATCGAAAAGTTTGCTTCACACATAATTATTGATAATGCTGAGCAATTAAAAACTTTTTTTTTTCAGGCAGAGTGGCCATCACTGGCTGCGTAGGGACCGAGGGTGTGCGGTATTGGTCCTAGTTAAACTGTACTGTAAAGTTACCTAGTTAACTGCTACCATAAAGTGCTCGACTCCGCACGCAGGTCGTCGGGCTACCAAAGCGGGGGTGCCATCCCCTCTGCAGAAGATCAAAATTGTGATGGCATGTCTTCGGATCATCCTCCGGGATGTTTCCCAGACTGTCGCCAATAGCCCATTGTGCAGCTCTAGTGCGACGTAAATTAACAACAACAGACAGAGTGGCATGTTATATTCCAGTTTAAGTATGATATTATTTTGGTAAAAGTATTACAAATTATTTAAAAAATTTTTTTGTTAGCTTCATGCAAGATGTTGTTATTCATTGTTTATTCTTATTTGTAGTTCGGTTCTTTTCTAATTTCTGCTTCGTTAATTTTAATTTTTTTTCCACAAAAAAATCCTTATTTTGGTTTTAGAAATTGCATTTTAAGTCCTATTTATCTGGTTATTTTTTCGTGTTTTTTAGGGCTGTTCAAGTATTTTTTGTCAATTTTTTTACTTAAATTTAGTGATTGATATAAATAGTTAAATAAGCTTCATTAGCAAATACTTTTTGAAACAAAGAAAAAAATTAAATATTGAGATCATATTTTATTTGCTAATTAAAAAAAAAAACCTATTACATAACAGTTACAAAAGTGGAAACATATCGTAAACTTAACATACTTCATAAATGCCTCTGTCGAGTGGAAATATTCGTTGTATGACAGCTGAAGTACTTTCCAAGCTCATCAGAAATGGAAACCAACACACAGCTGTTGTCACTATGACAACCGAGCTCAGTCGAATTAGTTTTTTAATTCTGAAATATTAAAATTATTAGAAATGAAATTGCTGGTATTTAATCAATTTCTGGACAAAGACATAGCTATTTCTCTAAATGGAGATTAAAATTTCCATATAACTATTTTTTTTCACTTCAGAAAAAAAATTGAGCTATGAAATTATATTATGCTTACCTTTCTTTAAAAGGGAGTTGTAAGCATCTGCCTAGTAAGTAGCAGAAAAAGGGAAGTGCATAATAGAGAGACATCTGCTTATAATGTAATGCGAGAGTAAAGAAAGCTGCCCCAACTAAATCATATCTCCACATTAAAAACAGAATTGCTGTGGCAGTAAATCCCAAGCTAACAGAGTTGTATCTAGATAAATGTTAAGAAATATATCATGAAAAATGCTAACTAGAATTGTTATAGTGTTGTTAATTTACTTTACTAAGGAATCTGAAAGTTTTTCAATTATTAGCAATGCACACATGAAGTGGGTTAGGAATTATCATTATTTTAAGTTAATTCACAGGACAAATTGAAAACTCACCATGATGAAAAAATTTTGAGATTGTACATGAATATGTAAATAATGCTTATGAAAATTTATGTTTCAGTACATAAGTAAATTAAAACTTATAAAAAACTAATTATTAATCAAGAAAAACAACATAATGTTAAAATTATTTATGTCTTCCTGTTGATTAACGCAACACTGCATTTTTTAAAAATTTCTCAAGCATCAGCTTGGATTTTTCTCGGCTTATGCTTAAAGATCTTGCATCTTCAGAAACAAAGTGCTTTGTTTGTGAAATATTGCAATCTCAGTTAGTCAAAAATATTTTATTTAAATAAGATTACTTTAAATAAATAAACATCAGAAATATAGCTATTAAAACTACATCAATTTATATAATAGTTGAAAATGTTGCAACAATAAACAAAGAAAGAACAGTGGGAAATCAGAAAAAAAAAAATCTGAACTAAGTCTTAAATAAAGAGGTCTTTGCAATCTGCTTATTTTTCTTGTCAAGGATAATGCCAGTTTTTGTTAAAGAGAAAACAAACAAGTACTAAATCAGCAAAACTGGTATGTATAAATTTACTTAATCACTATTAATTGATTCTCAACTATGCAAATTATCCATTAAAAAAATATAACCTAGCACATAATTGCTGTCATCTTATATAAAGATATTAATTTAATTTATTACATCTCAAAGAAATTAATGATTATTATTTGAAGAAAGAATTTTATTTAAAAAGAAAAAAAAAGTCATGTGAAAAATCTAGAAAACCAAATAATTCAGAGAGTTAAGAAATAAACTTGCTACTTAGTTGATTTTTATTAAACAATAAATTATTATTAGAAATAATGGAAACAAAGAGTCAAGCAGCTAAAGTAAAAATGAAATGGGAGAGATTAAAAGGATACTGAAAATGTCCATGATCGATAAGTATTAGTCCAGGATATAAAAGGCACAGTCCAACCAGAATAGCCTAAAAAATAACAAAAATATATAGAAGACAATTAAGAAACACAAAACAGAAACTAAGTATTTCATTCATAATGAATTGAATACTAAGAGTAAATAAAATTGTAAAACTGCTTACTTTATCCCTTAGATTATGAGGTTGCCTTATTGTAATCCAGTAGAATATTATAGGAAGATAAAATAGAAGATCAGCAGCCAAAACTAAAAGAATTTCAACAACAAAATGGTAAACAGAGTACATACTAGAAAAATAAACTTAAATTATAATTAAAAAATAAGATGACTAACAAAAACACATTTGAAATAACAATGGCAAATTTAAATTTAACCGACTATTTAATTTACTATTAACCATTTCATTCCTTATTAATATTATTACTGAATTTTATTATTCATTCGAAAAGCTATAATTCTACTATAAAAATTATCAAAAATCTGATGCTTCAATAGCAAAATTTTCATTAAAAATAATTGAGAGTTCTTCATTATATTTTGATTTAATTTCTGAAAACTTATCAATTATATTCGTTGTCATATTAAGTACTTTAGCTTTAGACTTAGAGACATTTTCAGCAATATACCAACCGGGGCTCGAAATTATCGGTGGTCTAACAGTAAAGGCTAGGACCTATTTGATAAGGTTATTTGTCTAGGATCATCATAATATATTTATCAGGGGTTCCAAGCAATCAATATAAAAGTTAGGCAAGCTGTCTAAGACTATTTAAAAAAAAAAACATGACGAATGAAAACTTTGAAAAATATCATAAAGCTACAAAATAAAAAATTCAAGAACGAAATCTGTATTGTCAAGGAATTCAATGTCCTCATCTGTTGAGTTTCACAAAAAATCATCTTTAATCCTATTCAAATAATTTGAATCCACCTTTTGCCAATACTTAAATTTTCAAAAATTCTATACTTGGTTTTATTAGCGATCAATTATGGGTTGACTTATACAATGGGATACACGGAAATCGAGCATTTTTTAAAATTTTATTTGGCTCTTTCCAACAATTTGTGAATCCGTACTTACCTTGTTCTTTTGTTAACAAACCGAACATAAAAATTTCTTCCAGAAATTAGACGAGAATTTTTATTTAATGAAATAATAAAAAGGACTATTTTTTAACAAACAATTAATTCATTATTTTCTTCAGAATATAAAGAGTAAATAACACTAATATAAACTCACCAGTGGACCTCATGAATATTTTATGATAATAACCCTCATATCCTCTGGAACTATTTAATGCAACCCAATCAGGATTTATCCATCTAGCACTAGTAGTAAAATAAATAGATAATATTTCATTTTTGTTTGATTCACATAGAAGAATGACAGTTAAAAACCATCAGAAATTAATACTTACACATAACCACAAAGCATACTATGATAGGCTGTTAAAGGTGGATAATCTAATCCCCAATATTGCAAATCATTATTGGAAGAATTTTTGTACCTATAAGATAACAAATCATTCATGAATTCAATTAATAGGATAAAAGTTCAAGTTCTTTTCATTAAACAAAAAATTTATTATTAGTACTTAAAGGACTAACAACAAACACAACACACAATTACCGAATAAGCTGAATTGATGTTTATCATAAAAAATATTATGTTTAAATTACAGTAAATTATGTACAATTTATAAATGTTTTAAACTATTTATTAAATTTATGAAAAACTATCTGAAATATCTTGCATCTTTTATAGATAGTACCTATGTAAAAAATTGATCCATAGTGGTTCCCGCTTAGTGGAAAAAACAGTTCCGAAAGAAACACCAGACCAAGAGGAAGAAACTCTATTTCGAAAATAAATATCAAATATTAAAATAATTTTTTATACAGTTTATAAATGCTTAAAAAATTATTTTAATATTTGTTTACTATTAATCACTAATTTACTACTAATTACTAATTAATTTTTATAACTAAATACTGTTAAGAGTTAAGTATGAAATAATCAAAACAATTCGTAAATAGATGATACAGACATTTTAAAATTCTCAGGTTTCCCATTTAGTTTTTAAAAAAAAATTCCCAGACTTCTCCAGGTATACTAGGAAAATTTCAATGAAAATCCAGACCATATTTTATCCATAACATGCAAGTTTTAATCAGAAAACTTTGATTTTTTTAAATTTACAATGTAAAATATTAAATTTTATGACCAAAAACATATAATAGAATGAGAACTGAAACATGGAAAAGCTTCACTAAAAAGTGGAATTTTATAAAATAATTGTAATAGATGCTAATATTATTTAACTCGAATCTCAATAACTGATTACTGTTACTGACAATTCTAAGACTGGTTATTTTCCAGGTATGATAAAGGAATTTTCTAGGTTTTCTCTAAAAAATTGCAATTTTCCCTGCTTTTTAGAGTTAAAACAAAATTTCCTGAAAATTCTAGATTTTCCCTGTTCTCCAAGATTCATGGTAGCATTTATTCTGTATAAAAATTAAATAAATAATATGAAAATGGGCATATTTTGTTAAAAAGATATTGTGAAAACTTTTTGATACTACATTAAATTTAAATTATTCTTATGATACTTATTGATAAACAATTATATTAGTTATTTTTAGTTTCTTCCAATGTCCTCAATACAATTGTTTTTTTCTTAACTAAACACCAAACCTTGTTTTAATTAGGATTAAACATTCTTAAGTGACCAAAATATTTAAAATAAATTATATGCGTACATTCATAATTAATATTTCTTGAAAGGTATACTAACCATTCTTGTACAGGAAGATTCACGGTTATTTCCATCCAATGTCTCTGTGCCTCATAATCACCATACATGGGTGGTTTACCAGACCCTGCAAAAATGGAAAATTACAAATAAAATTTATATACATATATATTAAAATTAATAGATAATTAAAAGACTTTAAGATTAAAAAAAAAAGTCTAAATTTAAAAGCAATCATGTCACTGATTTTTTTTGGGAGCCAAGATCTGTGGCAGAATAATCTCCAAGTCTTGGTAACTTCTCGGCACCATGAGAAATTGAAAGAAAAGAATCACAGAAGGCACCAACTACCCATAGACAAACATCTACAAGTTTTTCTTTTTTAAAAATATTTACGAGTTTAAAATTCATTTGGCACCTGGGCGATTGTAGTTGTTAACAACAAATTGTGACACAGAAATATCTTCCTTTTATTTGTTCAAGAGAATCAAAGTATATTAGTATTTTCATGAAATATAACAAATAGTGTTTTATCCAGTGGCGAATATAAGTTAAAATTTTGGAGGGGGCCCAACATTTAATTTTATTTTTAGTTTAAAAAAAACTTAAGTGTTGGAACTAAACAATCTCGTTATCATTTTTTTTATGCTTTCAGTTTATAAACTATGAGTAAACAAAATTGAACGTAACAGATTTTATTTGGATTGACGACTGTACATACATATATATATATATATTTATATATAAGAAGTTTGTCTTTTTAAGTAAAATTTACAAAACAAAGTTCAGATTTCTTGGTACACTTGCAAACTTATCAAGTACTTCTTCATCGCTTATTTTAACGTCTCTATGGATGGAAAGTAATGCAAGTCCATTAAGTCTATTTTCCGAAGTGGTGTTTCTTAAGTAAGACTTCAGTCTTCTTAAACTTGAGAAGCTTCTTTCCACAGTCGCAACAGAAACAGGTAGAACTGCTAGTAATTTTAAAAGAATATAAATGTTAGGGAAGAAAGTCTTGTCACATTTTTCTAAACAACAAATTGCTGTTTTGGGAAGATCTTCAGATTTATCCCGACTCCACTTTTCTCTCCATAACATAAATTCACTTTTCACGATCTCTTTATGGGACAAATCGTCTTCGTAGAAATTGAAAGCAGCTTCCAGAGAACTGAAATCTGTTTTTATACAAAATTCTGGAAGTATGTGTTGTAAGGATGCAACTGTTTCCTTGTGAGATTGAAAGCGTTCCTTTAGGGAATTACAAAAATCGTCAAGGTAAGGTACATAAACAATTCGTCGATAGTACTCTTCCTTTGTGCTGTAAGGGACGTTGTTGCGGGCTGTTTGAAGACGACAAATTCTTGGAATCTCTTCTTTAATGTCGAGTTTTTCAGCAAATTCCTTTACTTCAACATACAGGGTTTTAAAGTTGTCTTCAGCATTTGCCCTTTGCTTCGATAGCAGATCTAAGACGCTTGTAACATTTGCCATGGCTTGAGAAAGATCTATGTTTCTTTTTTGAAGCGTCTCGGATAAGTTATGTGTAGTTGACAGCATGCGGCTCAAAAGAAAAAGATTGACAAGAAATTGAAATTGACTGATAGAACTACCTAGAGCATGTGCCTTAGGTGCTGAGTCACTTGATTCTTCTTCTATTTTCAAAAGAGAGAGAATGATTGGTTCTAAAATATCTTTAAACAAAAACACAGAGTCGTGCCTATCCACCCATCGTGTTTCACAGAGTGAAATAAGTTTCTTTTTTTTCTGTTCAGGACAGCAGTCAGATATCGTCGATTTCAGTATTTCAGTTCTTTTGGCTGACTTGTGGAAAAATCCGCAGACTTCTTTGATAACGCCCATGCAATTTCTTATAGAAGGGATGTTACTTGCATCTGACAAACACAAATTTAGACTATGTGATGAACAATGTGTATACAAGGCCAGTGGAAGTTTTTCTCTGATAAAAGCTTGTACCCCTCTGAATTGCCCTCTCATCGCGGAAGCACCGTCGTATCCTTGACCTCTCATTTTCTTTAAGTCAAATCCTAAACTTGACAAGGTCTCCAACACTGTGTTAGCTAAGCCTGCACCAGTAACGTCATGAACGGGGACGAAAGTTAAAAAATCTTCTCTAATTTCGTATGATTGGTCTTCAACATACCGTACGCAAAGAGAAAACTGCTCTACTTGGCTAATGTCAGTGGTTTCATCTGCTAAAATGGAATAAAAAATAGACTTCCTGACATTTGTCACAATTTGAGATTGGATTAAATGACCAAACGTGTCAATGATTTCGTTTTGTATAAAAGAACTGGTGTACATACTCTTCCCACCACTGTTCATTAATTGATCTTTAAGGTCTTTATCTCCACTGTTAGCTCGGTATCTCAGCAATGATCGAAAATTTCCGTCATTTTTTTCGGGTTCTTCTAGGCCTATTCGTCCACCATCACGATGACCTCTCACTGCTATTTGTTGCCTTCCACAAAATCTTATAGTTTGTATAATAGGAATCAATCTTTTTCTGTTTTTTTCAATATCCAATTTTCTTTGAGAATTGACTTGATTGATAACACTGTCAGCTTTTTTTTTACAATGGATTTTGTGTCTTCAGCAATCAAAACTGATGTTTTATGATAAATGCAATTTTCATGTTTACGAAATATTTCCTTGGCTTTTTTCAAATTATTAAATGCCCGTGTTACTAATGCCCCTGTTACTTGATGATCTCCTTTTCCTACAGTATTGGAAGGTGAAAATATTACGCAATATTTACAAAAAGATCCGGATTTTTCTTCAGAATAAGCTAACCACTCAAATTCTTCTAACCATTTCATTTGAAAAGTTCTAGTATGGGTTGAAGTAGAACAACTGGAATTAGAAGGAAATTTGTATGCAGGTTGTGGTTTCCAAACATTTTCTACAAGCGAAATTTTTTCTTCATTTGTTAACGAACGAACGGAATCGTTTTGACAATAGTTTCCAATATCATAGATATTTCTTTTTACCTGGTTGAAGTCCTCTGTAAGTGGGGCTGGATGTGGATCAACCGTACCAATACCTTCGAAACCAGAAGAAACATTCTTAGTAGCACAGCCAACTTCAGTACTGTCGCTAATAGACTTATTTACAATCTGTTTTTTTGCAAAAAAATTTATAATAGAAGCTTGTCTCTTCATTATGAATGCAATTGACTTAACAACAAATGTTTCCCGCTTATATAGATTGAGTTAGAGCGCATGAATTCGAGAAGCTTTGATTTCTGGAACAGTCTAAAATCTTCGAAAAGGAACCTATTCAAAATCTCGATTGGGTCTTCAAAATAGGCCACGCCTTCATTGTACGCCTTCATTTTAGATTTACGATACTCTTAGCGCCATCTATACTTTTTTTCGGAAACTATTTGCTAGCAAAGCCATCCGAATATCAACTAACTATACGTGTATATATATAATTTTTTTCCTTCGGATTTCGGGAGGGGCCCTGGCCCCCTCGGCACCCCCCATATATACGCCCCTGGTTTTATCAGCAATGAGTAACTTTATATCACGGAAACAATGCACATTAGTATGATGGGCTGATATATAAAAGGGGAGAAAGGGAAGATTTCTGTATCGAGATCTGTTGCAAAATAATCGCGAAGTCTTGGCAACATCTAGAAAGCAGGCTACGAGAAACATAAAATAACATCACAGAAGGGTACGAACTCTAAGAATATAACTCATAGTCGTACTTTTCTGTCAGTAAGGCGTGAACAAAAAGTCACCAAATATTTTAGATCTTCACCTACTATTTTTTTAGCACATAAAATATCCCCTCCATAAAAATTTAATAAATAAAAAAATAGTTCAATTACTTGGTGCCTGGCTAATCGAAAAGTACCCTCATAGCACTCCTAAGTAAAGCTCCACATATTTTTCTGAAAACATGTGAAAATTCTTAAAATATGAAGTTCATAATAAATTTATATCTATCTTATATCTATATTAATAGCAGCCGATCAGGATACGAAAATGTCCTGGAGTTGGCTCTAGAGATCATGGTATGTAAATATCCCTACTCTCGAACCAACTCTAAGGGTACCTGTCTGGTCAAACCTCTGAAAATTTTTTTAAAAAAATAATGCAAGTTCTATTTAGCACCTCGGGGAATGTAGTGTGTATAACAGATCATGATACGGATATATTCCCAAAAAACAACTATAATACGACAAATAAAATACTATAAACTACTATAGATACTATAATTACTATAAAAGACAAATAAATAATTATATACTCAGAAGATAGAGCGCTTGCCTCCCAATGAAGTTACCCAGGTTCGAACCCCAGCCCTGGCTGGGGAAATACGAATTTTGCACCCGGCTCACAGTGCAGATGTAAAATATCCTCAGTGGTAGACGGATCATGGGTTTGAGTTCCCTTACCATCACACTTATCTTGGAACGTTCTTTTCCATGTAATGCAAAGGAAGTTAAGTTTCTTTAGAAAAGTTGAAGACGAATTTTCCCCCAATACTTAATCCTTCTAGTTCCCTTGTCTTCCGGATTTCGCTCAAAATTACAAGGCTGCGGAGTAGGATACTGGCAAATGTAAACTCAAAATCGGGTAGGATGTTCAACGACGGTGATAAAATATAATATAAATAACCGATAGGAATAGGATAACCGATACATTAGATGTTTGTATAAGTAAAATTCGACAATAGTAAATAAATAAGAATTATAATAGTAGCTTACCATATTTGCATTGTAATTTTATGAAATTTAATAAAATTAAGAAGAAAATGAAAAACATATCAACTTTCGTCGAACAGGTATTGATGCATGGAAATGTAAAAGAGTACCGAAATCATATTTACCTGAATATGAGAAGCGAGATACAGCCCACCGTAAAATTAACGATAGAAGAAGTCCAAAATGTAGCATGTCGTCTATTCCAGCTATTAGCATACTACAAAAATATCAACAGCCGCTTTTGAGGAGACTGTCCTATGGGGGGTATGTTTACAAAACATACAAAATATCACGTATGCATAATGTTATGATTGTATTCAACTAAATGTAAAATACAGTTTCCATCTAAATAATGTAGGATTTATTATTAGCTAAATACTACTAATTTACAATAAAATTCTATAATTTAACTTTACAATTCCTATGTAAAATCATAACAAAGAAAATAAACAAATACCGAACGATGAGTGTTTCTTAACGGCTTTCCCGAAATTAAAAGTATAGTGCTGCCATCTACTAATGATAAATATAATAAATTATATCGTTCCCTACTGTTAATAAGGGAGTGGGTAGATTGTGCTTTTTGCAAAGAAATAAAAAATGGTAAAAAAGTTAAAGTAAAAATAAGGAACAAATTATTAATAAAGGCTAGGCCATCTTATCAATCGAGTTCAGAACTAATTTACGAATAAGGATACATAATCTTTAATTAATAAGAAATAATAATTTTTTAAATTATTATTTTTTATTTAATCACCTAAAGCCAAGATCGATTAATTGGATACTAATTCAAAATTAAAAATAACCTTAGTCTAAAAAAATTAATAAAAAAAATTTAAAAATTTTTTGCTTCTGATCATTTTACACAAAATTGTACTTTCTACAAATTTAATTTCTGACCCAGGGAAAGTTTGAAAATTCTGAGCCAAGAAAGGCTGAAACATCATAGAAACTCAATTCATCTAGTTTGATTTAACCGCTTAACCCGGTCGACGCAGAATTTTTATTAAACATATTATTCATACTTTTTATATTGTATTAATTTAGGTCAAAATAAATGCAAAACAATAATTTATGGTTATAAAATACATAGAAAATCATAGAAAAAAAAATCTTTATTTATAAAATTATTATAAAAATTTATCTAAAAATAATTTCCAAGCAAAAAAAAATTGATATTTATTAAATATTTTTTAAAAATTTAATTTAATAATATTCGAAAATAGCTTGAAATAAACGCCTTAAACAAAACCAAATCTTCCAAAAAAGACCAGGTATTGTGTCCGTTTTCATAGCTTAGAATATTATTAGCATTAACAAATTAGCATATTAAGGACGACTTTTCAAAATTGTTACTTAGATCGGCAAACTCCGATCTCAAGAATAATCTTAAGATCAAAAGTTTCTTCAGTTTTCTTTTTCTTTTCCGTATTGTACTTGCTACCAGGGCCCTATTTTCGCATGAATGGTAAATGACCAGGGCCCCACATTATATGTGGGGCCATTTGTGGGCCTTTATTTTATATGTAAAATAAAGGCCCACAAATGCATAAAATTAAATTTTACTTATTTTAAGAAGATTATCAATATTTTACCGAATCTTTTTGGGAAATTAAATCACAAGTAATATGTTTTATTTTAAAATGCGTAGCTTAAATTTTATTTCCTTCTCCATTATATTTACAGACGAAGATGCCTTTTATCAAATTAGAAACAATACAGTTTTCACTAAATGAATGAGTACCAATCTTGTTCATTGATTAAGTTGTTCTGCAATAAGGAAATAGTTTAAGACACTTATTATTAAATATATTTTGCTTGTGCTACTCGTATTATTTTCTTCGTTTAATATCGAACAAATTAATTATTTCTATAATAGTCAGAATTCTAATGTTGAAGGAACGATAACAGTATGTTTATATTTGTATGGTGTACTATTGTATGGTTCAGCCTAGAACTTTTTATTAAAGTTTCAGCAATGTATATGAATGATACTATTGCCATATCCAAAATTTCTAAGAGCGTATGATTTGCTTACTTCGAACACGCACATGCGAAGGAAAAGATATTTATTAAAAAATGTGTTGAATAAGAGAATTTCACAAACATCTTCAAAATAACTATATTCTTTATTAAAATTGTTATTTACATAAATATATATTATAAAAATATTTCCACAACATATATTCAAATATACATGCATGGTGTAAGGAATGACATTGTATGGAACATTTCTTTTATTTACATAAAACAGCAGACATGATTAAAAAAAACATACAGCTAACGAACTTCAATATAAATTTCACAGAAGTTTTGATTAAAAGCGAAAAGACTTCTTAACTTTCAATTATTTACAATATGACTTTCAAATAAAATCTTTGCATTAAAAAATAGCAGTCATTTTTATGTTTGTAATTAAACTATTTGTATTGTTATAGTTGCGTATATATTACATTAATTAATACAAATATAAACATTATACTAGTTTAAGTATGATAACGGAGTTATCTTGCAAAAATTTATAAGTCAACTTGGAAGCTTTGTATATAAATTTACTTATTCATAACCCTCTATATATAATTAAATATAAAATAATTTAAAGTATGATAATCATCCAACTATTGGCAAATGATACATATAAGGAGGAATAATCTTACATATATTCTGAATTAATAAACACTTGAATTTGCATTGTAAAGAAAAACCTAAATGACGTGTTAAAAGTTTTTGTATGGTGAACTTATAGAGCTTTTACCAGGTAACACTAATGACTAATGTATAGATTTTAACATTAATATATGTGAGCGCTATACATACTTTAACGCTTATATGCATAGCTTTTGCTGCAATTTTATAATATATATATATATATATATATATTTAGGGTGGTTATTAAGGAACATCCTGTCTAAATATATACTCTATTTCCTAGAAGGGGTGTTATTTTCATGAAAAGCAATGTAATTCTATGATTGCTAAGCTAACGAAAGTTTTATTTTATATTATTTTAATTTTATTTTATATTCATTGCTAATGAAACCTTAGTAAAAAACTTTGAAAAATAAATGCTTTCAAGAAAGATTAAATTATATTATGTCAATTGTTACTTGTTAGTTGATTACAATTTCTTCTCTTTTAGTTTCACTCATTTCTAAAAATTATAACTGTTCAAAATAATTCCTGCTTTAGAATGATGACATCTATTCTACACACTGTTAATCTCAAAGTTTTTAGCAAACCTAACAGAATAATAACTAAAAAGTTATAATTTCTTTACATTGAAATTTAAAAACAGAGGACGGAAGCACTATTGGGTCTTATAAGTCGCTGATGAGCAAGAATACGAGTTTCCGACAATCTACATCATCCATGAATTTAGAGATTGTTGGAGCATTGGTGGTGAAATAGGTTCTTTGGATGAGTTGTTTTCTTCCACGCCAGCGTAGAGTCGTGATCTCATGGGCCATTTCTGAAAGCAATCACACATTTATATGCTTAATCTATCTATTTTTACGACTAGTTTTTAAACAATTTTATTTTATAACACTTGTTCTCGTTGATAAACATTTCGTCGTAAAACTTTTAAAATTTGAAGATGGTCCAAACTCGTGTTTAAAAAAATTACGCGCTTTAAATACATATTTGAAAATAAAGTGGCGCAGTTCAAAATTATGCGTCTGAGAAAAATGTGACAGGTATTTAAGAAAATGGACGTAGAAAATGGACGTAGAAAATGGACTTGGATCCAAATGAATTCTTAATGCATTTTATATGTTTTAGTTATTCAACAGACTTTAAAAATCCACATTTGTTTTTTAGGGTTACCATGCATCTTCCACATTCATAACAGTGGTAGTAAATTTATTTTACTATGGTATATCAGGAATTTCTTTTTGTAAAACACCCTATAACGTTTACTAAATACAATACTAATACAATATATTTATATAAAGAAATATTAATAGATACATTTTCCGCTAAAAAATAATGCATACTGGTTATCACAAACTACCTAAAATATCTAAGTTTGTACACATAAAGTTGACGCTCGATTTAACGACCGATGTAGCTTAAACGAAAACCGACGTTATAACTGGGCTCACTTGTGGCGGTTTGTCTCATGAATGCACAAAATTATAGCAAATATTTTAATATAACTCATAAATACGGGACTTATTTTTACAAAAACATTGTAAAAATAAGTTCATTTCCATAAACGTAAGTCCATAAACATTGTCCATTTCTTTCAAAAGTTTCAATTTGTGTTTTCTAAGCATTGACGTTACGCGGGTTGCAAGCAACCATTTTAGTTGAATAACATTCGTCTCTAGAGCAGTGGTTCCCAATGGAACCCTAAATGGTTGACCTTATTTTGGCGGAACCCCGTGACTAAACAAATAAATCCATTAGCTATTGTGAATACATAAATCGAAGATCGACTATTAATTATTTTTAAAATATTTAATGAATGAAATCGTATTAATTATTTTGAAAATATTTAATAAATGAAAGTATATTAAATATTTTGAAAATATTTAATGAATGAAATTATATTACTTATTTCGAAAATATATAATGAATGAAATTATATTAATAATTTTAAGAGTATTTTATGAATGAAATTGTATTAATTATTTTGAAAATATTTAATGAATGAAATTGTATTAATTGTATTGAAAATATTTAATGAATGAAATTGTATTAATTATTTTGAAAATATTTAATGAATGAAATTGTATTAATTATTTTGAAAATATATAATGAATGAAATTATATTAATAATTTTAAAAGTATTTTATGAATGAAATTTTATTAATTATTTTGAAAATATTTAATGAATGAAATTGCATTAATTATTTTGAAAATATTTAAGGAATGAAATTCTTTAAAATGTTTTAAAAGTATTTAATGAATGAAATTGTATTAACTATTTTGAAAATATTTAATGAATGCATAAAATATGATATTCTTTCATTGTAACTTTCCATCAATACTAGTCTACAAGTTGGGTTTACTGATTGATTTTAATGGTCTATAGAGATTCATCTAGTCTAGTTCATAATTTGATTTTAGTGCACGCATACACTGAAAATGAATTAGCTGATAAATGGTTTTCGTTGAAATAAAAACCGAAATTAGCAAAAATAGTTGTCGAAAATGGTTATCAGCAAAACATTCTTTTTTGTTGATATTTTTATTTAATTTGAGGTACTGCTGCAATTTCTCATGAATGTATTCATTATTCATTCAATGTATTTGTTAAAAGATTTGATTTTCTTTCTTCACAAGCATTTTACTTAAGTAATTTTATAAAAATAATGGAAATATTAAATAAATAAGGGTTAATTAATTAGATATCAATTTAATAATACGTTTTGAAGAACGTTGATTAAAAATGTCCAAACTCTCGGAACTCTTAAGAGCATTCCACGGAACCCTAAGATTCCGAGGAATACCATTTGGGAACAGCTGGTCTAGAGAACTGCTAAGTCTAAGCAGCAATTAAATCGCGTGGAATGAGAAAACATCACATTTTAGCCCAAAATGAAACACCTCTATTACAACACAAAAGAAGTGAGTACATTTTTGATAAAATAAAAACATGATTAATGAATTTATTGAACCTTTAGTAGGGAAATTTACAAAGTACATGAATGCATACAGAAAACTCCGGTTTTCAAACGAGGAGGATGCAATGTGCACTTTTAGTTCCCAATAAAGAAAAAAATTTTAAATTATTTTTTACGACCAAAAAAAAATATATATGTACTAAGCAAAATTTTGTTCGTTATATTGGGAAGACCTGTTCAGTTCGGATGCTTTAATGAGAGTTAAAACAACATGGTGACTATAGAATAACAAAGGATACTTTGCGTATCGGTCATTATAATGAAAGGATCGCAATAATGGTAGTTTTACTAAATGGTGTAGATTGTATATGAATATTTCGGCGAAATTTTTCATAATTTGTAAGTCCTGGGAACCGTGCTTTTAGATTATTTTACGGGGTAATATTTTCATAAAATCCGTGGTTGTTGTTGTTTCTAATGCCACTTGCCGCACGGGCAAGCCTGCTTGGGGAAACCGAGCAAATTTAAGGCTGAGTGTGCGCTTCTTGTTTTCTTCAGTGGCGCCATCCTATGTCCAAGAATTCGTCTTCAGCCACACACACGTCACAGTCCGTTTTATAGGGCGGACCCATTCATACATCCATTCATTCATCCACAGATCGTAATTTTGAACTGAATCAGAGAACGGTCGATCTCCAATCCAGTACCGCCAGAGGTATTGATTTGTTATGGGAACATGGAGGACTTTGAGACTCGACAGATTTAACGTGCATCAGTCACCATTTACTACACAGGGAGTCTTCGGCCGGCGGGATTCGAACCCAAGAACTCTCAGACATGGGCCCAGCGCCCTACCGACTAGGCTATCCCGGCCCTAAATGCGTGGTAGAGGAGTCAATTTAATTAATTTTTGAATTGCAGATATTTCTATTTCTTGACTTCGCGAGCTTTTACAACAACATTTTGGAAAAATAAAGGTATTAAAAAGTAATCCACACTGGTTTACTTTTATTTTCTAAGTTAGTGAGGTCATCTTGAAAAGTTACATTTGTAATGTAATACAATTAGTCATTTTTCAACCCTGCAGTTCAAGGGACTCGCTCAATAACGATTATTATTAACGTGTTTTTTAAAAAAGTAAGTAGAATTCTAAAGTGATTTGGCTCGGGGTTAAGAATTCAGGTTCTTAACAATTAAAAACACATTATTAGTGAGTCCATAAAAAAATACGTTTTGCATGAGCTATGTCTAAATGTTTAAACAGGTATTTCAAGTAATGTCCATTATTTTAAACGTGCATTTTGAGCTAGATTTGTCTTAAAAACATACATTTCACAACTTCATCTTTTTTATAAATACACATTTTAAGCCATTTCTATTTTTTTTTTGCGCTGGTCAATTAATTTAAACACGCGTTTTGAACTACATTATGCAGGCATTTCAAACTATTCCCATTTTCTTTAGCATTCATTTTGAGTTAGGTCCAAAATAACATGTAGACCGAAGATTTATTGAGAATATACTCAATAGTATGTGAAAACATCTAGTGGACCAATGAGTTTTACTGAGTTATCATCATCATTGACTTGACAACCCCGTGTGGACCTTCTTTAGGACATTCTCTATGTCGTACTCCTTGAACATTTATTATGATAGTATATCTAGTGGACCAATGAGTTTTACTGAGTTATCATCATCATTGACTTGACAGCCCTGTGTGAATCTTCTTTAGGACATTTTCCATGTCGTTCTCCTTAAACATTTATTATGATGATAGTATGAACACTCATAGCTTTTTGTATACTCATGACTTAATTAACTCCGAATGACAGTAGAATTTTAAGTTAAATAAAAAATTAAGAGTATAAATTTTTTTACGTCTTTTCTTTAAAATGGCGCCTTAAAATTTTTGAATTTATATACTTATCAGAGGGAACCACAGTAAAATAAATAAATAAGTAAGTAAAAAAGATATTTAAATGCTATTGACATATTTAAAGCTAAATTGATATTCCAATAGTTAAAAACCGAACAATAAAGGTGCATCCTGAAGAAGCAAACAAAAGACTGCCAGGAAAAATAAATCTGAGAAAGTTCCTTTTTACAGTTACTGTTGAAAAGAGCTCAAGTTTTTAGGGAATTCTAAAAAGAATGTCATTTTTTTTTTTAATATTCGTATTAGCAAACAAACTTTAAAACTTCTCCTTTTAATCAATATTCTTCTCATGAATAACTATTTGCCATCAGGATTATTTGGTTTTTGAGCAGTTATTTTCGATATCATTCAAATTTTTCAATTTTTTTTGTCAAATAAAAAATGCTGTATAGAAACGAAAATCTGATGATGATGCAATGTCAGGTAAGTATGATGGATGGAGTAGCATCTCCCACACTGAATCATTAATTTTTTAAGGCCTGGTATCCCGAATTGATATGAGTTAGAGAGATTAAAAAAATCGGATCTGATTTCCGAAATAAAAAAACATATTTGACAAACGTACTATGTATTCTTGGTATCAACTTTTGTAACATTTGGAAACTTTAACAGCATACAATGCCGGTTATTTTTCTTTCAATATTCATCTCATCATAAATTGCCAAATAGCAACAACAACAATAATAATAGTACTACTACTACTAATAATAATAAAAATCATATATTATTATATTTTAAGTAATAATAATAGTAATAATAGTACTACTACTGCTACTACTACTACTAATAATAATAATGAAAATCATATATTATATATTATGTAATAATAATAATAATAGTACTACTACTGCTATTACTAATACTAATAATAAAAACTATTTACTATTACTATTATAATTATTATGGGTAAACAAGGAACTTTAATATTATTGATACGACTTTGAAATTCACAATGAGTTGTTAAAAGTTAAAAAAATACTGACATGTGTCATATTGCATCACTTGAGCCGCGATGGCTCAGGGGATAGAGCGTTCGCCTTCCAATGGGAGAACCGGTTCGAATCCCAGTCGATACAAATTCCGCATCCGGCTTGCACCGACCACAGTGCTGAGGTGAAATATCCTCAGTGGTAGACGGATCATGGGTTTGAGTCCCCTTGCCGTTAGGCTAACCGTGGGAGGTACTTGTGGTCTTCCTCTTCATGTAACGCAAATGCGGGTTAGCTCCATCAAAAAGTCCTCCACGAATGCAAAATTTCTCCCATTACTCGATCCAGTAGTTTCCTTGTCTTCTGGCTTTACCGTATTGTTTGGCGTAGCAAGTCCTCATCTATATCTTGCGCCACTAAATCCTACATTCAATCAATCAATCAACCTTGTCTTCTGGATTGGGTTCAAAATTACAAGGCGACAGAGTTGAACATTAATTGTCGTAAACCCATAAAATTGGGTCGGCTGTTCAACGACGGTTATAAAAAAAATTAACCACAATAATAATAATATAGTACTACTACTACTACTACTAATAATAATAATAAAAATCATATATTATTATATATTATGTAATAATAATGATAATTGTACTACTTTGAAATTCACAATGAGCTGTTAAAAGTTTAAAAAAATACTAACATGTGTCATATTGCATCACTTTCCGGGGCCTCTAATACAGATTCAGTATTCATTAATTTTTATCACAAAAAGATAAAATGATTCTTACTCGAATTGGATGAAAGTAACTTTTCGCCCACCTAGGACTTATTGCTTCGTTTTCAGGTAATTGCGCATAAGAGTCATCTGGTACATCAAAATCTATATTTGGCATCATTATCGATTCCTAGGAAATAGAAAAAACTTAAATAAGTTGTTCCTAGTTGTGCCGTTTACTTATTTATATTTTTTTACAGGTAAAAATCAACTCTATGGTAAAGATATGCCCAAGGTAAAAGGATGGTTTTAGAACTCAATCATCATAATACTCTTATGATGGTTTAAAGTTTTATTAAAAATTTGATCTTAAAACATGTTGTTAGAAAAACAGCATTTTCGTTAAAAATACGCGTGTCTAGAAAAATAGAACTTTTTAAACATTAATTCTTGTTTCTTTCTCTTTCTTTTTCTGTAATCTTAGTTTTTAGATCCAAATTTCACCAAGAACAGTAAATGTTTTTACTAACAGAACAGTGTACAGTGCTCAAAATAAAAAACGGATCACCCTGAATAACTCTTGATCTACGATCGGATCTTCACGATCTAGGACTTAATGCTTAGAGAGGGCGACATCGAATACGCTAATTAATTAGTGCAGGCAAAATTTTAAGTTACGAAATCAGACACAAATACGCACTTTCTCTGAAAAAACATACCTTTTTTTCAACAAATTCAATCTGAGAAATATGGCTCCAATAGTTGGGTCAGAAGAACAGTTCAAAGTTTGAACACCTTAATGTTAACTTTACTTTTTGCGTATTTCACCATATCTCGCGAACTTCTTAAGTGAAAAGAAAAATTGTTGTACATAATTGTAAAATTCATTTATTTAAAGATTCGATGCAAAATGTAACTTATAGTAAATATTTGTGGTTTTTTATTATTTCGTTTAATATTAGTCGAAAAAGAAATGAATTGTATAAGGTATGCAATTTTTCTTATAATTTTAAAGAATGTAATTTTAAAAGACATAATGCAAAGTTTGAGCAAAATCGGTCGAATAGTTCTCGAGAAATCGAATTTTTTTTTTTTAAAAAAAAACGACGTTTTCAAAATTCAGCATTTTGCATTGAATTATCTTTGGATAAACGAATTTTACAATTGTGTGCAAAAATTTTTCAATTCGCTTCAAAAGTTTTTCGAAATATGCTGAAATATTCAAAAAGTAAAATTAATAATAACGGGCCCAAATTCTGAACCGTTTTCCTTACCAAACTATTGGGACCATATTTCTGTTGCTACCCCCTATATTTTGAGGGTCAAAAAGGAGCCTTGGAGCATTATCTCCTAGAAGAGAGAAGGCCTCAGCATGTATCAATTCAGTAGTCCGACCTAACGAACGTATACTGCCCAGTGGACGAAAAATAACAACGATGTCACTACGCTCGGGCTACTGAGCTGAGTAGTGGGGGAAAATTCGAAAGATGCCATTACGTTTGGATTACTAAAAGATCAAAATTTTGGTGTTGCTGTTGTCGCTTATCCTCATACATCTGACATTAGTCAGATCAACTCTGAAAAATTGTTGACAGCCAGAAAGTCGATGACAAAAAGGCGATCGGAAGTTAAGTCCGCCCTGGATAGTCCGACACAATCAAGTATGTGTTTCGGCGAGGCTGGATGGACACAGCATTTTTTACAAGTCAGATAAATTTTTGTGCCATGTTCGAATGTTAGACATTTTAGGTTACCAGTTGAGAATCTGGTCAAGGCAGTCTGGGAGCTTCTATCAAAATTCTTGCTTATGGTAACCCTTTCAGAGGCCTTCTCTCTTCTAAGAGATATTGTTTGGTGGCTTGTCGAAAGGGAATCGTGAGTTACACTTGCCCTTCTTATAACGTTAGAGGCATGTTCTAAAAGCTAAAGTCTGAGGATCTGGTTGTCCAATCCAACCAATGAATCTCTTCCCTTTCTATCAAAACCGTAAAACAGCTGAGATCTAATTCAACTACTTGTTGTCTTCCATTTAAATGAAATCAAGACCACCTGAAGAGACAAATGATAAGGCTCCAAGCCGTCATCTCTATACTTTTTACCAGTCCCAGTGCCTTTTTTAAAGACATAGGGTCGATTTTTTAGTGATTCTTTCATACCTTCGAATCCTTACATTGTTTATTCAGAGAAAGTACTTTTTGTGTGACAATTAATTTAATTTTAATTTTATTCGTAATTTTAATTATCGTTCATAAATGTATTTGAGATCTACTCATTAAACTTCTGATTGTTTTTCAGTTCGTCAATCGATTGCTAAATCAAAAGTAATTTACAGTGTTTGATCGCTGTACTTGTTGTCTTACCTGTGGCATCTCATTCTCGTTGAGTATCCGACTGAGGTGAGATATGTAAGTTGTGGCCAGAATGAGGACGTCCAGCTTGGATAGTTTTGTGTTGGGTGGTACAGAAGGGAGGCATTGTTGAAGTGTATGGAAAGCATTTCTCAAACTTTTGACTCGGTACCGCTCTCTCGCCGCATTCCTGGACATCCCATTGGAATTCTTACCTAAAGAGATCACATACAGAAACGTACTCAATGTTTTTAAATAGTTCTTAAAAGCAGCACAATACTGATATTGGTGATTAAAGATTTAAGCGGATCCATGACACATTTTGAAAAGAAATTAAATTTTTTCTTAAAAATGTTAAAATGTTTTGATAAAAGTTTGAAAGAGATAATACTTGTAGCCTTCATGTTGTTGAAAAAATTAAGATTTAAAATAAATAGTGCTTTTTTTTTCATTTGTTTTGAATGAAGATATTCATATTTTAGTTCATTATTTACTGAGGCATTAAAAAAATTGAAAAAAGTGTTGTTATTATTTTTTTAATTTTTATTTCTCGGTAACCTACTTAGCTCAAATTTTGAATTTAGTCATTCGTATAAATATAGTATAAACTAATGTAAAAAGTTTTACGTTACTTCTCAAAATTTTTTTTTATAGCTTTATTAAAGAACAAAAAATGATAAATATTTATAAAAACTATTTTTGAGTAAAATTATGCTTGAAAGTATAATATTAACAATTGTGATCTAGCACTTTTTGATTCATTTATTCAGTTCCAAAAAATATACTAAAAATGAAAAAAAAGAATTAAGATTGACAATAAGGAATCGAATTTTTGACCAAGTGTTCAAATTTTGGCTATTGAGACCATATTTTCTAGATTGAAGTAATCTCTAATATTGTGGAATTCGCGGATCCAACAAGGAAAAAAATCGTGTGTTTGTTCAGAGAAAGTATGTTTTAGTGTCTGATTAAATAACAAAAATAGTTATAGCGAAAATTTATATAACATTAAAGCAATAAATACAACTGATTCTTTTTGTTCAAATATTAATCTATCTCTCTTTTATTTCGTTAAATAATAAGTAATACTTAATAATCTAAACATGTGGTAAAAATATTAGTTGTTTTCAAACTATGTGCCTACCCATTTATTTCCTTTTTTTAATGAACATATAAATAAAATAAATAAGAAGTAAAATAAAATGAAATAAAATAAAAAAATATTTGGATTTTGCTTCAACTGATATAGGCAAATTTAATCATGGCATAATTATTATCTCAACATACTATCAATTTAACTTCAGACATAGAGTTTCTTACTTTAAGATCTATTTAATTGATAAATAAATGCTTAAAGATCTTTCTATATCATACAAATACGTAAAATCGATTACGTTATTTAGATTTACCATATTTATTTACTTCATTAAAAAAAATCAGTATAGAAATTACATTTGTAAAGCTCGTGTTACAATAAAAATTTATCATTACTCATGATTTATTTGAGATGAACATTTTTTTTTCTAAAGGCAACGTTTTCATTTTTCTTCCAATTTATATGCGTAGTAACTGCTGACATAATATCTCAAGTGCAGTGTAATTCGAAACTTGTCCAGCTTAACCTTTTCAACGATCGCTCATGCAGGCAAAGCACCAATTCATCAACACGACAACGCTATCGCCGCCGTTTTTTTTTTCCTTATAAATCTCGAAAGGAATGAAGACAAAAGGCGTAAAAAATATTCAAGTTTAACATGTATCCCAAAGTTTTGGACTGTTATTTTAAAAAATTGGATTCCATTATAATTGTTCTTTGAATAATAATTTATGCTGCGGATTTGGATGAATGTAAAAATCATGATTTTTTTTGGGGGGGGGGGGATATGAAAATAATTGTACTTTTTTCAGAGCACGTGAAAGTTCTGATATGTTTTAAATTTCATGATGCGGTTTTCGATATATATAAAAATTATTAAAAATATAAAACTATTAAAACTTATAAAATTATGATACATTTTTCAGAGCATATTAAAACAGTAAGGCATTTTTGAGAACATATAAAAACTAGAATTGTTTTTAGAAGATTGAAAAACTCATATGCATCAACACAACAATACTATCGCTGCGTATTTTGTTTATTACTTACGTATTATTGTAATTATGAAACTATAAAAGCTTATAAAATTATGATACATTTTTCTGAGCATATTAAAACAATGGTGCATTCTTGAGAACGTATAAAAACTATGATTTTCTTAGAAGATTGCAAAACTCATATGCATCAACACAACAATTCTATCGCCGCCGTATTTTGTTTATTACTTACGTATAATTGGAAGCCGCTTTATTGTAAGGAATGAGGGTATAATTCGAAAAAATTTTGTTGCATATAAAATTTTCGATGCTTTTTTGGATGCATATAAAAAATTATGATACGTTTTTTAGATCATATTAAAATAATGGCGCATTTTTGAGAGCATATAAAAATTAGAAATTGTGTTATGAAGATTTAAAGTAGTTATAAAACATCAAATGAGAAATGAAATGGAAATACAAAAAATATGGTACATATGGAAATAATTATATGCTTCTCAAAGAATGTAAAATGTATGATACGTTATTGAGAACATACAAAAATTATGATACGTTTTTTAGATCATATTAAAATAATGATACATATTTAAAAGCATATAAAAATTAGGATTTTTTTTTTTGGAGAATTAGAAATAGTTATGAAACATCAAGTTAAAAATGAAATGGAAACGTAAAATTTATATTGCGTTTTGGGAACATATGAAAATTTTGATGTGTTTTTCAGACCATAATAAAAGAATTATACATTTTTGAAAGCATATAAAATTAGCAATCATTTTCAGAATATTAAAAATACTTCTGAAATGAGAAATTTATTTCATGCTGTACTGACAGTATAATAATATTTACTTTCAAGAGGACGTGCTTTCTTCAAAACCTTAGTTGCATTTCTGGTTTGATACATGCAATATTGGTTCATTGATGAGGATACATCATTGGCCAGAGTGGGTGGAACCATTGCAAAAGGGGTCAGGAATCTATAAAAAAGTAATGAGTGAAAAATTACCCTGAAGAACACTTGTTTACGTTTTGATTTTAATGTTAGCTGCCACAGAGTACAACATTATTCGGAGTCTGTGTGCAATTTGTTAAATGTTTTTAATACAGATTAATTTTGATTTAAGAAAAAAGAAGAAGAAGAAAAAGCGTAATCTGCTATATCTAAAAAAAACATGTACAGTTATTTGTATATACAGTGTCCAGTAAAGATCCCACTTAATATTACATTTTAGAATCCTTATCAAAAATGGAAACAAAACGAAGTATTCATATTGGTGTAAAGCGTAGCAAATTAATGTTTAAAAGAGGAAAAAACTGAAATGCTAAATGAAACACTGACTAATCACAGTAAAGGAAGGCATATGCATTGAAAAAGAAGACAGGTTTGATTACAGGAGGAGAAAGCAGAGAGTATTTTTTTTTCCAATGCCCACCTGGAGAGTAACTTACGTCTTATAGGCATCTGAAGGGCAGATTTGTTGGCCTATCTTTCAGAGGCACCATATTAGGTGGGCCAACGCTGCTCCCACAGTAAGGACATATAGTGCAGAGAAGGAAAGAACATCCATGCCTTGCCCGGGAATCGAACCCAGAACCTTTCTGATGCAAGGGCAGTTCCCTAACCCCTACACAGGCCGGTCGGCAAGCAGAGAGCAGCTGAAAGACGAGTGAACTTCCAATGAAACTTATTTTGATGTAATTACAATATCCTCCGATTTTCTTACATCCTATTTTTTTTATTTGCCAAATTTAAATAGCTTTTTTTCCTCGTTTAAATATTAATTTGTGACTTTCCATATATATACATTTTTAGATTCCATTTCCGATGAGGAATTCTAAAAATACATATTAAGGAAAGTCTTTACAAAGCACCATGTAGATATAGCTAGACTACTCAAATCAAAAAAATCTTAAATGTGCACTCAATTTTCTAATTTCTTTTTATTTCAAATTTAGAGATAAATATAAAATATTAGCAATTTTTTTTATTGATCCGATCTATACCTATATCAACAAATTGTAAAAATTACGTATTAGATAAGTCAAAACTAAAATTTACGAAACAAAAAGTTCCAGAAAGGTTTTCAGTTATTTTCAAAACGTAGAAATATAAAGTTTTTTTTTTAACCACTTTACTGATACGTCTCAGAAATATACTTAAAATATTTCGTTATTATATCCAATATTATACTTTTGAAAGATTGTATTTCAGAAACATTTCGGAGACACTTGATTTTAAATTAATATTAATAATAAAAATATGTGTAAGTAATAGATTTGGGCAAAGGAAAATTTGGTGTTGCTATTGAAATGTAAACTGGTTTTTCTGTCACATAATGAGAAATGCTTCTTTTACACATCGAGAAGTATATTAAATTGATAGGCGCATTTTTGATACAAAACACTGTGAGAAAAAATTGAATGCATTTTTTTAACACTGAGAAACGAGTATGGTACACTGAGGAAACGGAATGCATTTTTTCTACATTGAGAAAGTATGGTAAAAAATTGCAAAATATGGTAAAATTTACAATATTTCTGGCTTTATGGGAACACTGAAAAGCTCTTTAATTTTTTCCGAAGCGCTTTGGTAATGATTTTGGTAAAATTAAAAACAAAATATAGTTTTATAACATGAGATAAAATTTAGTAAATTTGGGTAATTTTAATCAATAAACAAGAGCATGACACAAAAACCATTTATTCGGTTAAATTTATTTCCGATTTTGTATTTTTTACTACATGTGGAGTAAAAAGAACTGATTTCGCAAAACTAATTTTTCAGTAAACCGTTAATGCATAAATGGTTTAAATACCGTACATATGGCCAGAATCATGTTGTTTTTTCTTTTTCAGAAATGCAATTACCATTACAGTATGGTAATTTTACCAGAATTTTTTTGTCCGTGTACGTATTTGAAAGCCCCTCCTTTTTGAAAGAAGCACGGTCGCTAACTATTTATTTAAAGAATTTTTCAAAAATAATATAAAATGAATTACTTTATAATTCTTTTCCTAATATGCTTATAAGTTGTTGTCCATCGCCTATTAAAAACTCAGTACTAATTCAGGCACTTCTTCTATCGTAGCTATCTTGATATATAGTTGAAATTTTATCTTTTAGGAAAAATATGGGAAGTTTGACCCGTTTTTAACAGAAATATTCATACATATTTTTTTAACATGATGAAATTTTCAAGTTGACCTTATTTTATACCTTTTAATGTTGTCTGTAATTTATTTTTTACTTAAAAAACTATCCTCTTTACTTATGATATAAAAAAAATGCCAGCACAAGATACTACTATCACGGTCTGGCTCGGTAGTTATTTAAACGGCATTTAACGTTCAATTTTGTTTGTTTGTTCTACTTTTCTAAAGTTCTTCAACAAAATAATTTTTTTAATTGTCGAAAAATTTACATTTCAGCATGAAAGTTTGTAAATTAAGAATTTTGCTTTAAAAAGAATTGATGCAATAAAAAATTCATGAATAAAGATTGATGATTAATTAATGGTCCTCACTAATCAATTAATGGCAAAATTAATGTCCTCACAAATCGACTATTCGACCCGATCTCAACTCTTTCCGTCAAAAAATGCACCTCATTTGTATTCTATTATTATTTTTCAATAAACGCGGAATTATAATGAATATTTCATAATATAGTATAAATTATTTTATCCATGGCTCTTTCTTAAAATGTTTCTTATTTTTGAAATGGACTTAATATATTTCGTGAAATTTATGAAAAAAATGTCTTGCATTACTAATCGTACGATTTTCACAATCGTTTATAATTTGTAATTTTTGGAAAAAAATGGCCACATGTTTTAATGGCCACAGTGGGTAATGCTAGAAATGCTACTACTGACACTGGCCAGCAACAAAATTTTTTAATTTTACCTATGCCAGTAGACTTAGAAAATATAATGCTATGTAAACTGGTTCACATTGTATGAAATTTAAACTATTATATTAGTTAAAAAAAGCTTTAAAATTTAAGCAAAAACAAATAAAATAATACAATGTTAACGAAATTCACTAAATTTGTACGAACATTTTTATTTTATAAAATTAAAACAAAATCCAATGTTTGTCACGTATCCTAGCTTTACGTTTAAAAAATTTATAACAGTAAACCAATTCTAATCAATGTTAAAATTCCATATTACAAATAAATAAATAAATAATAATAATTAAGAAGATTTTTTTTTGCTTCCTATATTATACTTGTGGCACTGTGAACTTCCATTAATCTCGACATTTACCTGCTAATATGGAATAAAAAGAAACAAGTTCACTATCATTATTTTATACTTGTAATTATTCCATTAGATCAAGCTGGAAATCGACATTTGTTGGTGAAGGATCGGATTAATGAAATCTAAATGTTGACATTTAGCAGTGAATATGGAACAAATTAAAAGTTCGCTATCTTTATTTTGCACTTATAATCTTTCCATTAGAACACGCTAGTTAGCGACATTTGTTAAGAAAGAAAGAATAAATGAAATGTAAATGTTGACATTTAGCAGTACATATGGAATAAAAGGTTCGCTATCATTATTTTATAATTTTTACAATATTTCGGACATTCACCAAAGCAACTATGAGAATAAGAGCTTTCACTGCGGAATGACGACATTCATTAATATCGGTCTTTATCCGTTTTACGGAATAATTACGTAAACCATTGCTGATTTGTGTAGAAGCCAAAGATATCACGGCTCCGAATTTCTCTTTAAAATATTTAAAAAAAATTATGTTATTTCATAATTGTGCCTCTATAAATTTTAAATTTGAATTTTAAAAAACTATTAATCATGTTTTATTTTACGTCTGACATTTTCTGTTTCTAAATTTCTTTTTTCTTTTCCTCGTGTCAAATCACTTATAGTGAGACGTTTAATTTTTACTACGATTAACTAGTACTATTAGAATTTTGATATTCTGTTCACATTTATTTAAATTTCTGTTCAATACAACTATGGCGTATATGACTTTGCTATAAAAAATTGATAAATGAAATAATACATAAAAATAGAAAATGACATAAAAGTTATATTGGTGAAAAAGGTTATGAAACTTTGTTTGTGAATAAAATATTCTCATCTAAATTGTTGTGCATTTCGTATCATAAGAACACTTTATTTTAACGTAAAATGTTTTTTTTTCTTAAAAAAAATCTTGCACTGCTTCTTAAATGCGGAGTTAATTAAATGTAGCACTGCTTCTTAACAGTGCAGAATCAAGTAAAATGTTGCACTGCTTTGCATTTCTTTATTTTAAAGATTTCTTAAGAAAACGAAATCTATTTAGTAAATTATTTTCAAATAAGTATAATATTTGTTTAGATAATCTTATATTACAATATACAATTAAATTAAATAGTTACATGTTTGCTTCATAAAACATATTTTTCATAAAGTTTGCATGCTGTTTCATAAAGTTACATGTTGTAAATAAAATTATTTAAGAAATTATTTTTTTATTTAAAGTTCTTTAGTTAATTTATGATTAATTTTGTGGGCTAGCGTGCTCTTTAATTTAAAATAAATATATGTTTAAAAGTAATATGTGTAAAAATAATTTCTAAGAAATAGTTTCTATGATCTTTCGTAGCGTTTTTAACAGCTATCATTTATAAAATTTTAATGAAATAGATACCTAAATCAATACATGTAAAATTAGTGTCTAAAAATATTTTCTAAGATCTTCTGTTGCATTTTTGGGTGTAAAAGATAGAATCTAAGGACCGTTAGGTATGAGATTTAGCATAAGGATATAGCGTTATGAGGATCTAGCAAAACGATAGCATTAGGATCTAGCTTTAAGCATTTGTTAGTTTTATTAAACAGTTGAAAAATCTTATAGGAGCATTATATTTTATTTATTACTTCTATTATTATTTAACACAATATAATATTAAATATATAGTTTACTTCTATATGATGGTATTATTTTATTTAATATATCATCTAATTAATTATATTTTATTTAGTATACCAGTACTCAATACATTACACACAATCTTGTCTTAATAATGAAATAGCATTTACAAATAAAATTTTTGTGCATCAATAGCTAAATTACTAAATATTTTAATTAATAAATTACAACATAAAAGGATAAACATGCTATAATTAAAAATATTTAATATTTCGTTACAAATTATTTTAATCCTATTATCATCTTCCATTGCAAAGTGGTTGAAAACATCTTCTCCAGTTAAATTTATCTACTTATACGCGAGATTCTCTACTTATACCTGAGATTTTTAAGCACTTCTAACATTCCTCAGAAAGGACTTCAAAATTTTTGACAATAAAAATCGTTATTTTATGTTATTAGCAATGTATAGTCAAGAAGCAAAGTAAGTCTCTTTCGCAGAGTACATTCGGGAAAGACTTATACAAATAAATTTAATAACATTTAGCGATTTTTTTTAAAGGAATGGAATTGGATATTCATATTTTCTTCTAAGCCATGGATTCCTTAAAATATCATTTTTCAATCATATTCCTCTAATTACAGTTCTGTACTGTGATTAAGAGATGAAACATCAGTAGTACTTTAAGTGTTCTATAAATTAAGCATAGTAACATTTAAAAATTAATTTAAAAAAAAAGTGCTCGAAATCGCACCGAAAAATTTTCGAAAGTGTCTGTTGGAGTATTCTGTATTGTTTCTCATTACTGCTTGCTTTGCCGATTGGCTGTACGAGGCTAAGTTTATCGATACTAAATTTATAGATGACTAAATTTATCGATGTAATAAATTTATCGATGCAATAAATTTATCTATGATTTTTTATTTTTTGGGTTACATTTACAATCTTAACATTGTTTGTGACAGATTAAATGACAGGAGACAAATCGAGATCTATAGATGACAAATTTTTGCTACGAGGTAAAAGGATCAATTGTATAGAATCTAAAATAAACAAACTTGTCAAAAAAAAAAAAAGAAAGCACATTTCAATAAATTGATCGTAGATACATTTCAATAAATATAATGCAAAACAATATTGTATGTATTTCAAAATATTAAATTTTGTATAATTTTGTAAATTGTAAATTTAGATTAAATATGTATTTCAAAAGAAGTTTCAGTGATGAATTCATAAATTATTGACCTCAACAATGACTTTCAAGTTATTGGTATTAAACTGCTTCATTAAATACAAAAATGTAATGATTTAATTTTAAATTAAGGAGATATTAAGAGTCAGCACAGCATTTAATATAATAATTTTCTTCCATTGTACATTTTTAAAAAAAAGCATAGAGTACAATAATCTATAAATTTTTTTTGAAGTTACCATTAAAATTAAAGTCAGATACTTACAAATGCTTTAGGTTGAAAATTTGTGGTGGTACTGGATAGGATACTTTGGCCATACAGAATTAAAAGCAAATGAGGGGTGTCGTTCTTCTTAAATAGTGTGTTTGAAATTTATGCGGTTTATTTTAATGACAGATTGACAGGACGAAGGAGTTAACTGTAAAAACTACGAGGAAGGCGGGGCTTGTGACACGAGCGGCAGCCTTTTTTGGTTTACCGCCGGCCGCGCGGAAATTTGAATCTTTTAATATGATGTTTTCCTACTTTTTCGTTTTACTAAGAAGGATTACGAATATTTTGGTGCTGGAAATATTTATTTGAAAAGATTCTTGCTTATTTTTTCATTTTTAAAAATTGCATTAGTTCTTTGTTAGTTTGTTTATATTTTAATATTTTATTTTTGTTTAATTTTTCCTTTTCCTTTTATTGATTAATTTATTTCATAAAGTAATAATTAGGTTTAATTAATCTAGTTACACATTTAACTCTGCAAAGATTTTATTTAAATCCAAGTTGGGGAATAACAATTAAAATATTTTTGACGTATATTTAATTCATTTGCTTTGTTTTTATTTTCCTTCATTTATTTATTAATTTTCTTTTATTTATTTATTTTGAAAAATAATGTTTTGCTTTTGTTAAACGATATTATCTTATAACTTAGCTTGTCTATTTATGACGAAAGATTGAATTCATGTAAAATTTGAACCGCAGAAGAGAATTTTTTTTAATTTTTTTTATTTATGTATTTATTTATATTTTCATTTATAATTTCAGGCAATGCTAAAGTTATAAATTATAAGGTACACAAATTCTCACTTCATTTTTAAATATGTAATTTTAAATGACAAAATTCAAAATTGGAATGGAATCGGTCTAATATTCTTGAGAAATGTAACTTAAAAATTAAATATTTTAAAATGTGATTTTTCAGGAACTATCCAGAAAATTACGTTCTAGTTTTGTATTTTGTTATTTAATGTGACATACTTTGAAATGAGGTAAAAATGTTTAAAGTTTGCAATTCAAATAGCGTTCGAGCATTATTAAAATATTTAAAAAAATAATAAATAATTAAAACTTTTACGTAGATTATACTTTTCTTTATCTTTAGATAAATAAGTTTCATAATTTAGTGTAAAATTATTTTTAATTATCTTAAATTGTTCTAGAGACATGGGAAGCTACGCAAAAAGTGAATCATTGGAATGGAATCATCATTATGGAATAATTTATTCTGTATTTGGCTTATCCTCCTTATTTTAAGGAATAAATATCCTAACTCATCCAGAAAAATTATGTTTATTCAGAGAAAGTGTAAATTACTGCACCATTCGAGCTGTGAATAGCGCATCTTTTCAGGTTTGATAATTATTACAGCAATTATAACTGAAAACATTACGGTATATCAGATATTTCCTTCGGCAACATGGATTTCGGGAAAATAGATTTTACGGTAAAAAGTACCGGCACCTTGAGTGCCGGCACTTATTACCGTAATTTGATTCAGATTGTTTTTATAGTAATTTTCAAACTATCTAGATATTCCGCACATTATCTACTAGGCACAAGTTAAAGGAAAAATAAGAACCTTGATTGACAAACAAGCTTTAATTACCACTAGGTTATTTATTTATTTTTCGCAATCGAATAAATCAAGCCCCTACAATTAAACAATCATTTCATTATAGTAGTTGATTGAATCAATCACCATTTCCTTTCAAAACTATAATACAATGAATCAAACAGTTTCAAGATATTCTTACAATTAAGGAAATGATATAATACCATTTATTTATTTTTCGATTTAGAATCAAGTCAATAAATACAATCAAACAATCTACAAATTAGTTCTTAAAATAAGAGAAAGAAACTTTCGAAATTTAGCTTGTAAGAAACTTTCGAACATTTCCAACGGAAAAAACTTGATTCCGCACTTTAACGGAGTAACCTAGTTGATTTGCTGATTAGCTAGGAAATGTTCATATCAACAGCTTTTGAATTTTAGTGGTAACATATACATTGGGTAATGAGTAGCGTTGGATAAAAAAAATTATATCCATAATTGCTAAACTAAGCCATTTGACTAAAGAAAACTGATGTTGCCATCAGTTTTCCATTAAACAATGTTACCACATGTATATGTTTCCCCTAAAGCTCGAAAGCCGTTAATGTGAACATTACACTAGTTAATCTGTAGATTAGCTGGGCAATGTTCATGTTTACGGCTTTCGAGATTTAGTGGTAACATGTAAATTGGATAAAAATGAGTATATCCATAATTGCTAAACTAAGCTATCTCACTAAAGAATGTTACCACATGCATATGTTTCCTCTAAAGCTCGAAAGACGTTAATATGAACATTACGCTAGTTAATCTGTAGATAAACTAGGCAATGTTCATGTTTACGGCTTTCGAGATTTAGTGGTATCATATACATTGGTGAATAGCATTGGATAAAAAAAAGAGTATATCCATAACTGTTAAATTAAGGCATATCTAAAGAAAACCTATTTAGGGCGGGAAGGAAATTACAACTTCTAACAATTCAATCAAAAACTAAAAGCATTCCTCAGCACGTAAAATGATTAAGTACATCTTTGAACTTAGAGGTTGTAAAAACTTTTCATTGGTTGTTTTGCAGTAAAAAAGAATAAAATGATGGATTTGAAGGAAACTCGGTTGATTCATTAAGTTTTGTTTCTAGCTCATTAGAAGTTTACAGAAACACCACTTTTTTTTGAAGTAACATGTTCTAGGTTTCATGTTGAAATAAATGTTTTTAATTATATGAACGATTAAAAATATCTTGTGAATCAAGGTAACACAATTATCGAAAAACTGTATATTAATCCTTTCAAGATAAATTTTTTCTTTTCAGATAAAAAGGCAAATCACGATTTTAAAAGATCAAATAGGGAAAAAATAACAATATTTTGCGAAAAAAAAACCATTTGGGGAATTGGGAGGGGGCTGGGACATATGTACCCCATCGGATGTTTTAGACCGGACATATATGTCCCAGTGGCGTTTTCATCTGCTTTAAATATATGCCAGAGTAAGGCCGAAAGGGTAAAATATCAGTCTCTTAAAAGTTGTTTCAATGAAAAAAAATGTAAAAATAGCCTAATTTCCGAATATTAAGATCATAACTATTCAAATTTCAAGCTTGGAAACTACTTGGAATCTTCAAAATTTAAAATTTTCCATTTAATATGCATTTCAAAAATAAAATAAAACATAATGTATTCACAAATATAGATTACTTATTAAATAAATAAAGAAATTGATTTCTTTTTATTTTTCGTAGGTCAATAACTTAAATAACTTAATCAATAACTTAAAATTTTTGATATTATAAAATGTGGCATCTTAATATACAAAGTGAAGAAAAAATATTTTCAATTAATGAAAAAGAATATTAAAGGCAAACACAGAATCTGTTTCGGATAACTTTTTTGTCGTCATCGGCACTTAACTTCTGTAACGATTTATCTATTGGTTAATTTCCTGAATATGATTTAATTACTTATTTTCACAATTATTTATTATTATAAATATTTATTTTTATAATTCTTCATTTTTGGAGTCCGTTTAATCAGTCAAAATGAAAAAAAAAAATCTAAATACAGACAAATGCAAGGCATAAAAAGTAAAGTTAGTTCATAAAAATTAAATAGTTTTAAATTTTAATAAAATTATGACATTTATCACAAAAAACGTAATAAAAATGATGATAAAATGAATGATGATAAAGAATGACAATAAGAATGGATGATAAATAAATATTACTATAAAAACCGCAAAATAAAGAAACAAGAAATGTTTCGCTGTTTAAAATTACTGTTACAGCTTTTATTGATTTACTGCTATTGACAAGCAAAGAAATTTGTTAATTAAGGACCATATCATGCTATTTTCTGGTCTATAAAAACGTGTCGATAACAAAGAAAAATGGTTCTTGACCATTATGCTTTTATGTTACATAGAGATATTATGTGGTAGTTAAGATACTCAAATTGCTTAAATAATATTTTGATTTATGGTAATTGCAAAAAAAATATTTGAAAATTTCCGGAAAATTTCGATTTACAATTTCTGTTTTAGATATTTAAAAATTAAAGTATCTCATGATAACCACGAATTTGAGAGAAACATTCTGAAACTGTAAATAAATATGCGATGTGCCCTTAATTATCTCACCAAGAAGTTTTTGGAAAATCACTAATAAAAGTTTTTTTCTCTTTGATTAGATGAAATTAAAAAAAATAATAATAATGAGGCAAAATGAAAAACACAAGAATTCAACTTTTTACTAGGACTAAAAAGTAATTCTGTGTTTGCCAGACCAAATACGAAAAACGCGAGACACATCAATTTCGGGAGGATTTCTGTTTTTGAGTTTCTATTAGGCATTATTTTATTTTAACATTGTTTTCAATGAAATGAAAGGATAAGTATTTTAAGGATTTCATGATTTTAACTAGTTATCCTTCAGCTACATGAAAAAAATTTCCACTCCAAAATAACTATAAATTTACATAAAAAATTATAGCAAAGATGACAGTGCGCCACTGTGCAATAATGGAAGGGCCAAACTCATCTCTATACGGTATAATCTGAAACGTACGTGACCAAAAATTAAACTATTTTGTATATATATATATATATATATATATATATAGGTCAATCAATCACTTAACTTGTTTGTCTCTGCAAAGGTTTTGAACAAAGGCAGTAAAACCTTTCAGTGCTTAAGTTTAATTCGTGTTTTTTTACTTCTTAAAAATTTAGATTCTCAATTATTACATCTAAAACTAGATAAAATAACTTCCGCAATCAAGCAATGTTAAGGAAAATGAAGTTAAAATAATATTTCCCTAAATTTAAATTAATAGTATCTCCACACACATATATTCGATTTTATTAAAGTGCAAATGTTATTCTACCACAGTACAGAAGTTGTGAAACATAAATAATGACTTAACAATTGGAAATAGATTTTACGAATCGAAATAAAAGTATTAAGCATAAAGATACATGAAATGTTTATTTATATTTCAAATTCTCATACACGTACTCAACATATATTAAGCAAAAAATAAAGGAATATTG